AGGGTTTAGGGTTTAGGGTTTAGGGTTTAGGGTTTAGGGTTTAGGGTTTAGGGTTTAGGGTTTAGGGTTTAGGGTTTAGGGTTTAGGGTTTAGGGTTTAGGGTTCTGCACTTTAGCATTTTGGAAACCTCTGTTTGTGGAAACGGCCATTCTTAGAGCATGAACCTAGCCCTTCTGGCTGGCTTTTCGAGTATACAGAGCGAATGGGCTTGTCGAGCATGTGGGCTGTGTAGGGAACCCCGATAGTTGTAGAACCCCGATAGAGCTTACAGGGCTTTAAAGGGTTTACAGAGCTAAAAGATGAAGCTCCTGCCCCTAAATTCTGATGCATCCCGACGTGACACAGGAGGCTGCGCACCAGGTTTGTGGGGAATTGGGCTCGGTGGCAGCCGTGAATTTGGACACCAAGCACCACGCAGGCCCTCTGTGTACATGATTAGTTTACAGGGTTCTTAAGGGAGAGGGGGTTCATGGGGGTAGGCACCAAGGGAACTTTAGGGAAGCATAGGAAGCCTTCGGGAGTTGTAGGGAGTATGAGGGAACCTTGTAAACGAACGACTGCCCGTCTTGTCCTCCATTTGCAGCTACGCTGCTCACAGGTGGGCGGACGTCGTCATCCTTGCTGGGACGAACTGTGTAGATCACAATATCCCGAAACGTAGCGTGTGGCATGTGTAACTTGAAGGCTCCACGTGGGACCACAAGGTGGATGAATCTTTAGACGACATGCCGAATGTCCAAATGTCGGGCATACAAGCTGGCCGGGATACTTCAGCGACAACGCTTGAAGTATTCACGTACGTATCAAAGCAGTTCCGCTGTGCATTCAGTCTGCTTGCAGATTGGACCCCACAGAACAACGATGTGCCCAGAAAGCGTTCCCGGGGCTTGGGTCAAGAGCTGGAGCTGGAGCAATGCACCAAGGCAGGGTTGTTGATCAGGCGTTCCTTCGTCTACGGGGTCAGCCTGCAGACAGAACTTTGGCTGTGGTTTAGGGCTTTGGGCTTGCAACAACGATGGCAAGCAACTAGCACACTCACAGTCACACTCACACTCACACTCACACTCACACACTCACACACTCACACACTCACTCACACACACACACACACACACACTCTCTCTCTCTGTCTCGCTCCAGCTGCACTGTTTTCCAGCAACCTCGGAGTAACATGGACACCCTTCATGTTGTCGTATATCTATTAGGGCCATTAAGGAATGCAAGGGTAGCACTGAAAAACTGCTGCCAAAAATCCGTCGATTGGGCCAGGAGGCCATGCTGGGAAAGCTCTGTGTCATCCTCACGAGAGAGGGCTGAGGGTTTAGGTTCTAGGATTCAGGGTTTGGGGTTCAGGCTTTAGGGCTTGCGGGTGTCGGGCTTAGGGTCTGGAAAAAATTCGGCTTAGGCTATTAGGGTTTAGGATTTAGGTTTAGGGTTTAGGGTTTAGGATTTAGGGTTTAGGGTTTAGGGTTTGGAGTTTGGAGCTTAGGGTCTGCATGTCCCACCCAAGAGATGCGCTGCAGCCTTTGGCTTGAGTTGGCTTGATCTGGGTCTCTGTGGCTGCCCTGAGTCCTTCCAGCCTGCTTTTTGAAATTTGGGGTTTAGGGTTTGGGGTTTCGGGTTCTAGGGTTTAGGGTCTGGGGCTTGGGGTTTAGGGCTTGGGGTCTCGGGATGAGCTTAGGGTCGAGGGTTTCGGGGCTGGGGTTCCGGGTCTAGGGCACACACACCGAAACCAGCCTGAGCATGGCCTATCCTCTCTTAAAGGGTGCCTGGGGAGGCGGTGGTGCAAGGGGTACCCTAAACCCTGAACCGCTGAACCCCTGAACCCTGAAGACCAAACTTCCCCAAACCGAGGCTTGACTTTCTTTGCTTTCGGTTTGGTTTGGGCAGAAGACCTCGAGGTCGAGAGTAGAGGCGATTTCCATGATTCTTCCTGGGATTCGCAGGGGCTTTTAGGGATTGGCAGGGGCTTCATTTCTAGGCTTTGCAGCATTTATAGGTGCTATAGGCTTCAAGGGTTTAGGCGTTGAAGGCTTGGAAAGGCTTCATAGGTTTATGCGCTGTAGGGCTTCATTGTAGGATTTAGGAATGTTCCGTGTTATAGGCTTTGTAGGTTTTATCGCCTTTGCAGGCTTTGCAGGGCTTTTAGGGTCGGTAGGCTTTGTAGGGTTTTTGGGGTTTACAGGGTCTGTTAGGTTTATAGGCTTTATGGGTTCATGCGCAGGGTTTACAGGCTTTACTGTATATACTTAAAATAGGGGGCCCATGGTCTGAGAGCTTCGGGCGTCGGATTGAACATGCAGAGGTTTTTGAGACAGCCTGAGGGCTTAGGGTTTAGGGCCGTTTAGGGCCGTTTAGGGCCGTTTAGGGTTTAGGGTTTAGGGTTTAGGGTCTAGGGCTTAGGGTTTAGGGTTTAGGGTTGGTTTAGGGTTTAGGGTTTAGGGTCACATAGGTTCGGGCATAGCCTGTGGCGTTGTTGGCCTTGTTGTTTATCATGATCGGGCTCGAAGGGCAGAGCTGTCAGCGCTTACAAGGCTGTTCGCTTGAACTTGGGAGGGTGATCCAATCACCCAAACCCTAAACCCTATACCTTAGACCCTAAACCCCAAACGCTAACCAGGAACGCACTAATAATTGAGACCCCAAGATCGGGTGCGCGGAATCCGGTTTGCAAACCCTGCTGAGACCTGTGCCTCCTCCCGGCGGTGCCGGCTGCACTCACATGGGCTTTCCGAAGGCCCTTTTGTATTTGTGTTTTTGGGTTGGTTGGTATGATTGCTGAATGTCTTTAAAGAGGGATTCTACTGCGTTTAGGGGGTTTAAAGAGGGATCCTGCTGTATTTAGCCGGGGGGGGGGGGTCCTTCTTGAGTGGGGACTTCATGCTCGCAAACTCCCACAAAAGAGGGAGGTGGGGGCGGGGGTCCTAGCGCGGTTTCTTGGAGCCGAAACACCCGCCTGGGCCTGCGGTTTCTCGCAAGGGGTTTAGGCAGCTTTAGAAGGAGATTTTGGTTTTTTTTAACGAAAATTGGGGATGACGGCCCTGCATGCGGCATGCTGGAACGGCCGGTCTGAAGCGGTGGAGTTATTGATGAGGCGAGAGGCAAAACTCAACATCAAGACAGCCACGGAAGGGCTGACAGCACTTCAAGTTGCATCGGAACGGACTCATTTGGAATTCGTATGGTTCCTGGTGCGTCAATACTCCGAGTTGGTCTTATTGGAGCAATAATCCAACAAAAAAGCAAAAGTGTATGAGAATGAATAACGGTAATGCAGTGGGGGCCCCCAATATACACCCCCAAAATAGTAGGATTCCCTTACGATAAGGCCCCCAATATGGTACCCCTATGTTCGGATCCCACATTTCCACACTACCTCTGCCCAACAGTGTGTAGAAACTACAGATCTGTACTTCAAGGGCTAAGCGGCTAGGAGGCCCTTCAAGCATGCCCACACCGAAGACCAAAATACTGAATCCAGTGACTAGGTTGCCTGGTGGAGCATGCGATATAGGGGCCTTAATGATTAGAATAGGGTTTTTGGGGGGGTTATTCTGGTACAATGATATAGGGACATTAAGGGCTCATTATTAGTAAGTTTTCCGACCCCTATATTCGGCCTCAGAAGCAATGAAAAGAAGGCCTCCGTTTCTGTTTAACAAAGTGACACAGAGGGTGCTGTCATGCTTGCAGTAGCCCACGTGGTACTTGGGGCTGTAGGGATGTTCCTGAAACCTAAATCCTAAACCCTAAACCTTATTCCTCATACCCTGAAGTTTAAACCCTAACCCCAATCCTGAAACCCTAGACCCGAAAATTCTATCTCACAAGCCCTAAACCCTAAACCCTAAACCCTAAACCCGATTCTTCCTCAGTTTCCTCTCACTTCAGGGGTGCCAACCTTGCTTTGAAGACCCGAAGCCGCTTGGCACCCTCGAGGGTCGAGGAATCACAAAGTTGCTGCAGAAGGGAACCCTCAACTTGGGTTGAGGGCCCTAGGGTTTAGGGTTTAGGGTTTAGGGTTTAGGGTTTGGGGTTTGGGGTTTGGGGTTTGGGGTTGGGATGTTCCCCCTCATACTAACAGTCCTGAATAGGGATTATAATATGGGGGGGGGGGGTACTAGAATCCCTGTCAAAGACTGCTAGTATAAGGGGGAACATCCCAGCCCTAAACCCTAAACCCCACAAACCCTAGCCTTGAACCAAACAAGAAGGGCAAAAGGGTACCCTAAACCCTAAACCCTAAACCCTAAACCCTAAACCCTAAACCCTAAACCCTAAACCCTAAACCCCTAAGGTCTCCAGGTATTAGGGGTTACGCTTTGGGGTTCAGGCTTTAAGGGTAGGGTTAAGGTTGGGTCTGCTAGTTTTGTGGGTTTGGGGTTTGGGGTTCAGGGTTTGGGGGGGGGGGGGGGGGGGTTACGGTTTGGGGTTCAGTGTTTAGGGTTGTTTGGGGTTTAAGGTTTGGGTTTTGGGCTTAGGTTTTGGGGTTTTAAGGCGCGATGCTTCAGGATTAAGGAATGCCCTGGGCAGGCAACCACACTTCAAGGTTTAGGGTTTAGGGTTTAGGGCTTAGGGTTTAGGGTTTAGGGTTTAGGGTTTAGGGTATAGGGTTTAGGGTTTAGGGTTTAGGGTTCGTGCCTCCAGCTCAACTTTGGCCACTGGGGCCTCCGCTGCGCATCTTCGTTGACTAAGGCTCTGCAAGCCCCGAATCCTCAAACTTAACCCTAGACCTCTAAACCCTAAACCCTAAACCCTAAACCCTAGACCTCTGAACCCTAAACCCTAAACCCTAAACCCTAAACCCTAGACCTCCAAACCCTAAACCCTAAACCTCTTCGTCCTGAACCCTGAGCCTCGAACTCCGAGCTCCAACATTGACAAAGCTCCAATCCAAAGACCCTATACCCTTGAACCCGAATGGCTTCTTATTCATTGGTGGGTAATTCTTAAGCAAGTAATGGCAGATCAACCTCGTGTTGAAGGAATCCCTGCCGAACCTAGCGGTGGAATTCCTTTCTGTAAAGTCTGGCGCACTGGGAGGATGCCTGACCATCTTTGCACACTAAGTCGTCGTCTGTGAGCACCTTGCCGTGGCGGCATCCGGTTGTTTTTTCCCCGCGATGTCGCACGAGGACTGGGGACGTAGGGTTTCTGGGACTAAGGGGTTCGTTCTGTGAGTGTCCTGTTGGGCGGATGAGGGATTAACAAAAAAAGAAACACAAATCGAACGAACCCAAACCCTAAACCCCAAAATACCGATTTCTGGGATCAGGTACATCGGTTGCTGCTTGTTCCTGCCTTGATGGTGGCATTGGCTGAACTCTTCCCCTTGCTTCACATGGCCCGAATGGCCCCGAAAACCCCTAAAAAGACCCGGCCCGTACCCAAAATCTCGAAAAAACCCTGAGGCCTTGAACCCTGAACCCTAAATCCTAAAGCCTAAACCCTAAACCCTGAACCAGCTGAGTTGTTTTTGGTTCATGGGAGGGTTAGGAACTTCGGTAATAGTTTGACAAACCGTTTCGAGTCCAAGTCCCACTGGTTTAGGGTTCAGGGTTCAGGGTTCTGGGTTTCGGGTTTAGGTTTTAGTAGGGTTTAGGGAAAGAAAATCTGGGTCGCTTTTAAGGGGGTGGGTTTGGGGGTGGAGAGGTCTAGGCATTCAAGATCCTGCGCAAGGTTTAGAGCCCCTTCTGTGAGTTGATAGCTTCGGGAACTCTGAATCTTCACTGCAGGGGGTATCTGCTCTCAAAATCCCCCCTAAAACCCCAAACCCCAAACCCCAAACCCCAAACCCCAAACCCCAAACCCCAAACCCCAAACCCCAAACCCAAACCCCAAACCCTAAACCCTAAACCCTAACAAACAGATGTGCCTCGAGATTTCGATGCGAGACAAAGGGCAGCTCGCCCGTGAGGCTGTGCCTCAGCGCAGGTGGTCAGAGCTTGGGGTGTTGGAATATGTTGGTTTTCTTGGAGGTTCAAGAGCAGTCACAGCTGGGTCAAAAAAACCTAACATAAGCTCTAATTTGCATCTGCTTGCAAGTTGTAAGTCGCAAGTTTATAGGTTATGGAGGCAAGTGCGTTGATCACGGTCGAGATCAGGGTCGATAAAATGATAGAATTGGTCCGTAGTTCCAGCGAGCTAGGGAAGTGGTGTTAGAGGAGATGATTACAAGAACCCCGGACTTCGAACCCCTGGCAAGCAGGCTCAGAGACGCGCGGGTAGATGGTGATGCTCTCGATCCACATAGGTGGAGAGCCTGAAGAAGCCCAACGTCAAACGCGAGGTGGGAGGGAGGCAGGGGGTGGAGCACGGAGGGGAACCCTGAGCCCTAATGCTTGAGTGAACCTTTTCAAATGCGCCTAAGCCCGCCTCAATCCTGCCCAAAAATCCCGTTAAAAGCTTGAAAGGAGCAACGCTCTTCTCAAGCATTCGAGGTGTCAAGTCGTCCAAACCCAATATGCTGCACGTCACGAAAAGAGACCGCCCTGAGGCCGGCCTTTCCTGCAGACCTTCAAAGTCCCCTAGTTGGCAACGCTGCAAAAAAAGCCCTAAACCCTAATTAAACTCTAAACCCCTAAACCCTAAACCCAAAGTTTTTTGGGGTGGTTTTGGCTGTTTGCCTGGGAGCCTCAGTCTTCAGGGTTTGGCTGCGCCAGCAGGCACCAACACCAAGACCCACAAATTCGCATCAAACAGCCGAGCCTCAAGCCTAGACACTCAAATTCCAGAGGTTACGAAAAACTCGGGGGCCCTTTTGTGCCATTTGTGAAACCCCCACAAGCGTATTTGCATAGAAACCGCAAATTTATGCTAAGCCCGGCAACCCGCCTGCATCCTCCTCCCGGAAAGCATCGTCGGGCGCGGGCAGAAAGCCGAACCCTTGGCTGTGATCAGCTATGACTTCCTCTGTGGTCGACACAAGCTTCTCGCCAGTCTTACATGGAACAGGTCTTGAACATAAGGGGTTTGCTGTCCTGGAGCAGGTGTCATTGTCGGTTGACGCCGCAAACCGAAACCCCCCAAACCTTAAGTTGCCATTGCGGGGCAACTGAGGGTGTTGATTGGTGCCACAGCTTCCAGGTACAACCCTACACCCTAAACCCTAAACCCTAAACCCTAAACCCTACACCCTAAACCCTAAACCCTAAACAAGTTTGCTGGCAATGGGGCTTAAGGTTGCAGCTGGAGGATGGAAGCACGAGGAGCCATGAGCCCTGACAGCTGGAACGCCTGCATCTGGGGCCCCAAGCCCTAAACCCTAAACCCTAGACCCCAAACCCTAAACCCTAAATCCAAAAAGCCCTAACCATACTGGTGAATAAGTACCATGAGCCTCCAGTAGTGCCTCAGCTTGCTGACAAGAAGCCCACGTTCGTCAGTGGTCGGGGGCGTGCCACCTGACGACATCTTCTCCCGGGTGACAACTTTGTTCCAGTCTTGACTGCTTTCTTCCAAACACGGCACCGAAAACATGGATACCGGAAGGTATATGTGATTTTCGCATGCATACATAAATCTGAAGTCGTCTATCTGGATATAATACCCCCCCCCCCCCCCAACAAAAATAATCGAAAACAAAAAACAATTAGAATTCGCTCTTGAAATACCCAAAACTAACTGTGGAACGACTTCGGCGGTAGATCAAGGAAAATGATCACATGTATGTGCACTATGCATATGCATATGCATATGCATATGTATATGTATATTATCGGGCAACACCTTCGGGAGTAACACTGAAAAACTGATTTGGTGCGGGCCTCATGCACCCGTTGTCGGCTGACCCGCCATCTAGGTGTTGTTTCGGGGCAGCGAAGATTTGGGACTTGATGCTTAAGGAGCAACATTGGAGCAACAACTTCACCATCCCGGAGGAAGCAAAGCTTGGGTTCCTACGGAGACAAAACTCTAAGAAGTGACGGGCAAGGATGAGCCTTCGCGACAAAGAAATGCTCCGTCAGCATCCCGGGAACGGCTCCGACCTGAGAAACGCTGGCGCGCCAGGCAGGGGCACCAAAACTGCTGAGGTTTAGGGTTTCGGGTGTCTTGGGAGCACAACGCATGGCGAGGTTAAACGCATGCCCGACCGAGACAGCGCATGGCGGGTATGGGCTAGCTGCTCAGCCAACTGTATAACCAACCTTATGATGGAGCTGTGGTTCTATGCTGGAGGCCTCCGGAAGGATGGTCACACCTACAGTTTAGGGTTTAGGGTTTAGGGTTTAGGGTTTAGGGTTTAGGGTTTAGGGTAGTAGCACAGCACTCTCAAGCAGCAATGCAGATGTCGGATGTTGCTGGTGCCGTGACGGAAAGGTGTACTCCAACTCGGCGAGAACCCTCGCAAAGATACACAACAGAGTAGTGCACTAAACCCTAAACCGTAAACAGTCAAGCCCCTGAGACTTGAAATTGTTCAAAAGCTCAAAAAGGAAACTCCTCGAAACTTTCTTCCGAACTCCCCGAGACTTTCCTCGAAACGAATGCCGAACCTGCACCCTGAATACTTCCGACAAACCCTAAACCCCAAGCCTCCATTTTTGAACCCTTAGCCGGGGGGGGGGGGTTTTCTTCCGTGCCCCTTCCTGAAAGCACTGGCCTAACGCTAAGCAAGTTCAATGGGTCTTGTGCTTTTGCTTGGTGGGGGAGAACGGGGGAACGGGCTGGGTGTCTTCTAAAGTTGAAGACCTAAAACCTAAACCCTAAACCCTAAAGAGCGCTGCAAAGCTTCGGGCTTAGTACTTAGAAGCTATCCTGGGCCCGTTAGAAGCTATCCTGGGCCCGTGCGAGCACATAGTGCTTCCCATCTGCTTGGCCTTCCACGCACGCAGCCCAAAACCTGGTCTAGGGTGTAGGTTTTTCGGCTCATTTGGGTTGAGGGTTTAGGGTTTAGGGTTTAGGATTTAGGGTTGAGGGTTTAAGATGTAGGGCTATAGATACCGCGAGCACCTCCCAAGATATCCTACAGACTCCACAATACGGTATCCTTAGGCAAGGTACTTGGGAGGATATGATTAGGAGAGGAAACTGCAGAACAAGACTGGAAAAGAACTCTCAAGCACAGCACGCCTTTGTAAGGGGTATGTAACAGAGAAGAGATCATCGTTACACAATCTCTCCCCTGCAGGTGCACATCGCTTGCTGCCTGTACCTGGGGGTCACTCCGTTATACTGTGCATAGAAGTGAACAGAACAGCAGACCCGGTTGGCAGCACCAAACTGTACTGGGTGCCTTTCCAATCCGAGCCATCACTTTCAACTTTCTTGTGGCCAGCTCGAAACGAGTTATCTTGCCACCCTCAACTTGCACCCCTATTTAAACCCACACTCATTTAAACCCACACTCACTGCAACGGGGCGGAGGATGCGAGCTTACGCGTCGGAGCCAGCTGGCGACAGTTCTTGCATGACTGCAGCGTTGCCGTATGCAGAGGCGAGCATGAGAGCTGTTCGGCCACTCACGTTCTCCAAGGACTTCTCAGCGCCGGCTGCCAAGAGCTCTTGTACAACCCCTACGTGGCCCCAACGTGCTGCGTACATCAGAGCCTTGCTAGCCCAAGTAACCATCTTGCAATAAGTGGGCACCCTTTTTTTGGGGTTGGTTACTTTTATATAAGGGAAACCCAGAACCCAAAAACAAAAGGGGTAAAGGGTACCACTGGGCTACCAAGGAGCCGTCATGCCGTTCTCGTCCTGCAAGTCCTTCTGAGAACCGGCTTCCAGCAGGTGTCTCACAACCTCGAGGTGCCCACGGCGAGATGCGAACATAAGAGCTGCCATGAAATTCCTACCTGGGTTGGCCTTTAACACCTTTGAACAAATATTTACATATAGGGTCCCCGCCCTAATCCCAAATGAGGAACATGTAAGATGTGCCAAAAGCCAACCTAGTTACGATCCAAACAACCCTTGTCGGCGCCCGCTGCCACAAGATCTCGCACAGCTGCAAGGTTGCCTGTTTCAGAAGCATGCATAAGAGCTGTCATGCCACTCTTGTCTTGCAAGTCTTTCTCGGCCCCGGCTCGTAACAGCTCTTGCACAATCTCCATGGCACTATGTCGAGAAGCGTACAAGCTGTTGCCAATTGTCGATGCGTACATGAGCGCTGTCATGCCGTTCTTGTTTTGCGAGTTCACGTCCCCTGCTTTCAGCAGCTCGCGCAGAACATCAATGTGGCCATATTGAGAGGCGTACATAAGGGGCGTCATAAGGGTGGAGTCCTTCAAACTCTTGTCGGCGCCCGCAGCCAACAGCTCTTGCACAACAGCAATGTTGCCGATTGCAGATGCGTACATCAGAGCTGTGACACCGCTCAAGTTTTTCACATCCATGTTAGCACCAGCTTTTAGCAGCTCTCGCGCAACTTCAGCGTGACCCCGCCGAGATGCGTACATGAGGGCTGTCACCCAGTCCCGATCCAACAATCCCTCATCAGCGCCAGATTCCAATAGCTCTCGCACAGCTGAAAGGTTGCCCATTTCAGAAGCATGCATAAGAGCTGTCATGCCATCCACGTCTCGCAAGTCAATCAAGTTGCGGTTCATCTCGTCACCAGTTCGCACCACCAACAGCTCTTGCACGCACGAAACGTCACCATTTTCTGATGCGTACATGAGAACTGTCTTTCTGCCTCTTGTCAACACGTCCTTGCTCGCCCCAGCTTGTAAGAGAGCTCGCACAGCCTCGACATCACCTTTATCAGCAGCATACATAAGAGCCGTCATGCCATCCTGATCTTGCAAGTCCTTGTCAGAGTCGGCCTCTAGCAGCTCGCGTAAGAGCTCAACGTGGCCGTGTTGAGAAACATGCATCAAGGCAGTCTTCCTTCTCCCATCCCGCGAGTCCTTGTCGGCACCAGCAGCTAGCAGCCTCCGCAAGATCTCGAGGTGTCCTTGAGATGCAGCCTCAAGAAACTCGGTCTTCATCTCTTTGTTGCTCTTCGGCCGCAACACAAGCTGCATTCTGAGGGGTGAATCCAAAACCGTGTCCTCAGCCAAAGAAGCGCCTTCGCTTACAAGCTCTTGCAGGCATATCGGGAAATCATAGACCTGACGCAGGTACTGTTTCAATGCCTTGACATCGCAAACCTTGGCCGCAGGTATGGGATCCAGCTCTCGCCCCGAGACCATCGAAATCTGAAGCATGGTGCAAACTAAAACGAAAAGTGACTCAACCCTAAACCCTACACCCTGAACCGCTGAGGGTTTAGGGGACAACAGGGCTACTGATAGGGTCTATGGCAGGAGAGTGTGTTTGAGGGTTCAACTCTCTTTGAACGATCGGCTGCGCGTGCTCAATGTCTAGAAGGGATTGGTGACCATCCAACTGTACCCCAAAATTGTAACTTTCAACTCTGCACTTTACTCACACAACATGTATGTGGGCACAGGTGCTTACCTCCCATCAGTCCTACAAGTCCTACAAGTGCCGTATCAGGTAAGACTAGCTGACTAGCTGACTAACCCCGATACGGCGCAGACCCCGGACACGACCTTCCTGCCGGAGGAGATGCAGGAGTCGGTTTAACTGATCAGGCGAAGAGGAGAGCAAGGCTGTATCATCAGCATATTCCATATCCCAGAGTGGTGCTGGCGTGTAGAAAACGCCAGAGATTTCTCCATACTGCTTGTGAATAATGTGCTTCTAGATCATGGAGGAGATGAGTGAGTATGAAGGAAACCAAATATGGGGAAAGAGGGCATCCTTGGCGAAGCCTTTTTGTCAGATATTGAAGCACTGAAGTGGTTCCTGAATCTAAAGCCACAAAGGAAGGGGCTCTATATAGAGCCAGTACTGCCTCAACCATTGGCATCGGGACCCCCACAAAAAGAAGGGCTGCTTTAATGGATGTGAAAGTAACTGAATCAAAAGCCTTCTCCCAGTCCAGGAATAGAGCATGAAAGGAGGAGGCCTGGCGCAGGCCTGATGCGGGAATCGAGGCAATACTCAAGTCGAGACGGGATCATGGCTACTGTGTCTAGCAATATACATGCCTAGAAGTTGTCAGGGTATTCCTGTCATTGATTGTGCCATGACAGCATTCGCTACTGCAGTCTGGTAACGACAGTTCTGCTTGCAGTTGGTTGGGTTGGTGAGCCTGCTGTTCTGATTTGGGCTTTCTGAAACTCGGACCTACGAGTCTACACATGCAAAGGCCGCACTCTGCGATCTTTCCATCGACATCCATCCTTGCTTGCATGTTGAGTGGGGCTTGTCTGGCCCTCATACACAGCCTTTTGAACAGGAGCCCGAGCCAGAGATGATGGGTATTGTTTTAGGGTTGAGCACTGAAACCTTCATTCCCTGAGCCTGAAACCTTTGAAGCCCCAAGCCCGTAAACCGCGAAAGGTCCTAAGCCCTAAGCCCGGACACTACTTGGAGGTTCAGGGTACTTAACCCTAAACCCTAAACCCTAAACCCTGAACCTCATCGCATGCCCGTATGCTGTGCTCTTGGTGACCGAACATGTGCCGCTGCCCCGCCTCAGAGAAGGTCTAGGGAGCCTAGCTTCCTGTTTAGGGTTTAGGGTTTAGGGTCTAGGGTTTAGGGTTTCGAGTTTCGGGTGTTTCAAGTTTGGAGGTAGTGGGGATCTTGTGCGGAGTGAAGGATTCAGGGTTCGGTACTCCCGGAACTCAACCAGCTGACCGTCCCTATTTAGGGGGTATAAGGAGGGACCCCGAAATAGCACCCTAAATGACCTCTAAGGTCCCTGATAAGGGTCCCTCCTTTTAGCCCCTTGACCCTGAACTCTCAACCCTCTAAGCCCCAACCTCTGAACCCTAGACTCCCCTAAAAAGTGCGTTGAGACCGGGGGAGGCCAGGTGCCGGGTGTTGCACTTATGTGCTACGTTGTAGGGCTTAACGTATGCGGGTCCTTCTTACCAATCAGATACCGTGGGAGTAAGCGGGTCCTTTTTACCAATCAAATACAGTGGGAGTTTTGGCTAAGAGCCCCTTACTTGAGATGGCATGGGTCTGCTGAGTCCTTCGGTCCGCAAAGTGCACTGGACAATCATTCCCGGATGGGATTCCTCATATAAAAGACTGGAGAAAAACACATGAACATATGTATGAATATACATGAATAAATATAAATATATATATATATTTATATTTATATTTATATTTATTTAGATATTTATGGTAAAGAAGCCCAAACGTAAAGGCGACCCGTAGCCCTAGCTGTAGAGCCTACGGCTGGCTACGCGTAGGCCTGTCGGTAGAGTCTGCGGCAGCCTACGCGTAGGCCTATCCGTAGGCCCTCGTGTGGCCGTCAAAGGGCCACGGGCAGCCTACGCGTAGGCCTACCCGTAGGCCTGCGGGTAGGCCTATCCGTAGGCCTACGGGTAGGCTACCGGCAGGCCTACCCGTAGGCCTATGGGTAGGCTACCGGTAGGCCTGCCCATAGGCGTGTAGGTATGCTACCGGTAGGCCTGGTCGCAGGCCTATCAGTAAGCTATCTATAGGCCGACCCGCAGGCCTGCGGGTAGGCTACCGGTAGGCCTACCCGCAGGCCTACGGGTAGGCGACCGGCAGCCCTACCCGCAGGCTTATACGTAGTCGAGGCATAGTAGTAGTGATGATCTCGGGGCTGGGGCTCGGGCACAAAAAGGAGGGCCTAAGAGTCCATGACCGAGCCTCAGGGCTCGAGAAACGACGAAAGCACCCGTCAACTGCTCCCTAAATTCTCGACCCTAGACATCATGTGCATCCGTAAAAGAAATCACGCACGCATGGACTCTTAGGCCCTCCTTTTTGTGCCCGAGCCCCAGCCCCGAGATCATCACTACTACTATGCCTCGACTACGTATAAGCCTGCGGGTAGGGCTGCCGGTCGCCTACCCGTAGGCCTGCGGGTAGGCCTACCGGTAGCCTACCCGTAGGCCTGCGGGTCGGCCTATAGATAGCTTACTTATAGGCCTGCGACCAGGCCTACCGGTAGCATACCTACACGCCTATGGGCAGGCCTACCGGTAGCCTACCCATAGGCCTACTGGTAGGCCTGCCGGTAGCCTACCTATAGGCCTACGGATAGGCCTACCGGCAGCCTACCCGTAGGCCTACCTGTAGGCCTACCAATAGGCGACTGGTAGGCCTACAGAGAGGCCTACCAGTAGCCCACTCGTAGGCCTACGGATAGGCCTATAGGTAGCCTCGCATAGCCTCTACGTAGGCCTACCCGTAGGCCTAGGGTAGACCTACCCATAGGTCCGACGTAGCCTTGGTTTCGGGCTTCTGTATGATATTTATACATATATAAAAATATACACACATATATGTATACATATCTACATACATACATACATACATACATACATACATACATACATACATACATACATACATACAAACTTCTTCGCTGTCTATGGCACAGGGGAGCCAGATCCCCAAAGCCCATATGGGCAGCGGGTAGCTGCTGGTTGCGGAGTTGTGGTGGTCGTAGGCTTCCCCACCCGAAGGGCTCTGGGTTTCTGGGGTTCTCGGTTTCTAGGTGATAGGGTTAGAGGTTTAGGGTTTAGGGTTTAGGGTTTAGGGTTTAGGGTTTAGGGCTTAGGGTTTAGGGTTAGAAGTTTAGAAGATCATAGGCTACTGGGGACATATAGAGGGCTTAGGGTTGCGCGTTCTCTATAATCCCTTTTGAGGGTTGCCCAATATGTCATCGACCGACCTGGGGATTGGGTACCCACAAAACAGGTATACAACCCAAACCCTGAACTCGTAAGCTCTAACTTAACATGAGCAGGGGAAGAACCCGGGCCCCTAAGCTCTCTACAGGTTATCGTCAAGAAGAAATCACCATGCCCCGAACCTCTTTAAACCCCAAGCCCGTAACCCCCAATCCTAAAACCCTAAACCCTAAAACCCTAAAACCCTAAAACCCTAAAACCCTAAAACCCTAAAACCCTAAAACCCTAAAACCCTAAACCCCACTGCCCACGGTCCAAGTCTGGGTCGAGGACCCTCTTGGTGAAGACGGAGTCCGAGACGGTCTTGGGCGCCCCGGACCTGTCCATGTGGTCCATGCGCACTGGGCCCTACCCACGTGGAATCTCATGGTAGGGTTTAGGGTTTAGGGTTTAGGGTTTAGGGTTTAGGGTTTAGGGTTTAGGGTTTAGGGTTTAGGGTTTAGGGTTTAGGGTTTAGGGTTTTGGGTTTGGGGTTCAGGGTTCAGGGTTCAGGGTTCAGGGTTCAGGGTTCAGGGTTCAGGGTTTAGGGTTTAGGGTTTAGGGTTTAGGGTTTAGGGTTTAGGGTTTAGGGTTTAGGGCCCACCCCAAAACCAGCCTAGGGACCCTCAAGGCACATCGAGGCCTGCTAAGGCCTTAGGGCAGTTAGCAGGAGCTAACTGCCCAACCCCCCAACCCCGAAACCGCCAAATCCCCCAAAACCCGACCCCCAAAGGCCCCCAAAAACCCTCAAAATCCCCCCCCCCAAAGGCCCCAAAAGCCCCCCAAAGCCCCCCAAAGGCCCCCAAAGGCCCCCAAGCCCCAAAGCCCCAAAGCCCCAACGGCCCAAAGCCCCAAACCTCCGAACCCAAACCCCCAAACCCCTAAACCCTGAGCCAGGGTTTAGTTTATTAGGGTTTAGGGTTTAGGGTTTACCGCAAGCCTCGAGTCGATACCACATCTCTGTCAGTATACGCAGTGACCCTTATGTCGGAGACAAATTTGTTCATGCTCCCTGCGCCAGGACTCTCGAACCTGCTTTTCCTGCTTGTCAGGAAGACTTCAACTCAAATGCCCTACACCCCAGAGCTTTTTCAAGGCTGTCGCACAAAGTTGTTGGGTGTAGTGGGGGGTGTTGGGGGGGGAGTATTCATGACAAACGGTGAATACTTGAAGGTACACGCAGTTATAAGTAGGGTTGTAAGTCAAAATAACCCCAATACAACAACCATGAAGCCCTGAACGAAACTTCAAGTAGGCCCGCAAAAACCCTGAACCCTAAACCTTACACCCTAAACCCTGAACCCTAAAGCACCCAGACCCAACCCGGAGTCCGCCCACCCAGACCTGCTCCTCGTGCCGGCCTTACGCCAGTGCCGGGGGGGTGGGGGGGGTTTCGGAGTTTCGGAGTTTTCGGCTCAGGTTTGTTTAGGGTTGACGGATTTAGGGATTTACGGACTGGCTTAGGGTTTTAGATGTTTGGGGATTTAGGGTTTAGGTTTCAGAGTCTCCCCGCCCAGTGGCTTCAGCTTCCTGCAGGGCTGAAGACTGCCATGAATGTCAGATCGACAGATTGAAGTCTGAACGCCATCTTCACAGCATTGCCATTTTCGGGCCGCCCCGGGTTTAGGGTTTAGGGTTTAGGGTTTAGGGTTTAGGGTTTAGGGTTTAGGGTTTAGGGTTTAGGGTTCAGGGTAACAGATCCCTTGAACCCGAACAAAAACACGTCAGCCCTATAGAAAGGCCTGGGGCCCTGAGAGCTGAGATGTCCAGTACCTAGGTGAACTAAGAGTGAAACTTTGGGATTATAAGGGGGATATAATACCCAAAAAGGTTAAAGGTTGCCTACAAACCCTAAAACCTAACCCTAAACCCTAAACCCTAAACCCTAAACCCTAAACCCTAAACCCTAAACCCTAAACCCTAAACCCCAAACCCGAACTCTACTACCAAGAGAGCCAAAGAGCCGTGAAATGCCAGGCATTGGCGCCGCGATGGAAGTCGATGACCTTGATGGCAATTCAGGGGGGGGGGGGGGGAAATAAGGTACCCTTTCGGGTGGAACCCTAAACCCTAAACCCTAAACCCTAAACCCTAAACCCTAAACCCTAAACCCTAAACCCTAAACCCTAACAAGAATTCGGGGTGTACATTCCGGGTGCCTCCCCTTCTTGGGAACTGAACATCTTGTCTTGGGGTGTAGGGGACTTTGGAATCCCCTTGAAGGGTTTTAGGGTTTAGGGTTTAGGGATGTATCAGGGTAGCTTTGATTGCAAGCTGAGGACTCGTCACGGATCGCTTGGAGGGATTTGGGGAAATGGGCTTCCTAGAGATCACCTGAAACCCTAGCCCTAAACCCTATAAACCCTAAACCCTATAAACCCTATAAATCCAAAAACCCAAAAACCCTAAACATCCTAAACCCTATTAGACTATTACCTATAAACCCTAAACATCCTAAACCCTATGAACCCTAAACCCTACAAGTACAAACCCTAAACCCTATAAATCCTTCTTGGGCAAGAAAGGCACGACTGCAAAAAGCACTTGGGCCTCCATTTTAGGGTTTAGGGTTTAGGGTTTAGGGTTTAGGGTTGTAAGGCCCCGGTGCAGGCAAGGAGCTACGGATCTTCGAAGCCGTCTGGTTACAAACAGTTTAAGGGTTAAGGGTTTAGGGCTTAATAGGGTTTAGGGTTTGTAAAGTTTAGGGGGTTTAGGGTTTAGGGTTTGGGGTTTGGGGTTTACGGCTTTTGGAGGTTCATGGATACTTACTAACCAAATAGTAGTTGCACTTACATCCCTAGCATAACCATTTTAGGGTAATTCAGGGGCCTATAAGTGGAATATAAGTGCAGTTAAAATTGGTTATCAAGCACCACGAACCTCCAAATAGGATTCACCAAAACTCATTGTCCACCCGAAACCGATCTTAGAAAGGTTCTACATCCAGAAGCAACAGGGAGAAGTTGTATTCTTTTCCAACTTGGTTCCCTAAACGCCAAATGCCAAAACCCACCCCGCAAGCCGGTACCCACCCTAAACAATAAACCCCCGAAACCCCCCAAAACCCCCCAAACCCCCAAAACCCCCCAAACCCCCAAAACCCCCAAAATCCCCAAAATCCCCTAGGATCGTCGGCAAGACCGTTTGCATAAAACCTAAACCCTAAACCCTAAACCCTAAACCCTAAACCCTAAACCCCAAAACCTAAACCCCAAAACCTAAACCCTAAAACCTAAACCCTAAACCCTAAACCCTAAACCCCGTCAAGACCTGCTTGCTGCGGGCCCCAGGTGCGAAGTCGGAGTCGAGGCGGTCGGGAAGGTCCTCTGGCCAGCAAGGTTTAGGGTTTAGGATTTAGGGTTTAGGGTTTAGGGTTTAGGATTAGGGTTTCGGGTTTAGGGCTTCGGCTTGAGCGTTTAGGGTTTCGGGTTGAGGGGTTTTCCGGACTTGGGGTTTGGGATGAAGACTTCGGGAGAAGGTCTTGGGGATTGGCTTGGATGGTTGCTGTTTAGGCTGAAGGCTTTGGGGTGTACTCCTCATTCTCATCCTCCCCATCATCACCAACGAACCTCCCCAACGAAACAATCTCTCCCATGTAAGAAGCTATTCGCCCACAATGCATCTATCGGAAAGCGAGGGAGAGGGTGTGTTTCATGATCAGTAACTGGCAGTGGTCAAGCATTCACATCGTCAACTATCACAAGCATTATCACCTTCACACTCACACCAACCACCATCATCAGGAATACAAGCATCACCTTTACCACTCACCACCAGCGTCACCGCCATCATCATCATCATCATCATCACCACCATTTTCACTCTCCACCATCATCATCACCACACCCAACTATACATCATCACCCATCATTGATGGCGAGAATGTCAATTCCAAGCCAGAACTCCTGTACCTCTGCATGGATAAAAGGTTTAGATAGGACTGTGGGAGTACTTGGAGGTTCATGGTACTTGTAACCCACTTATAAGCCCTGTAAGTGCCCGGATATAGTTATACTTGGGTTGTAAGTACAGTTATAACTGGGTTATTAAGTACCCTAAACCCTAAACCCCAAAACCCTAAACCCTAAACCCTAAACCCTCCAAGTAGGTTTTAGGGCTCAGGGCCTGCGACTCACCTCTACATATGTTGGCGGTCCTCGTCTCCGGTGCCGCAGGGCCCCGGCTCGTCACGGAAGCACACCTGCCGCACATCTAATTAGGGTTTAGGGTTTAGGGTTTAGGGTTTAGGGTTTAGGGTTTAGGGTTTAGGGTTTAGGGTTGTAGGAACGCCCCGAGTTGGAGGGGGGAGAAAGCAAAGCAGAAGTAGCGTGCCCTTGCTTTCTTTGCAGAGCCCGAGTCGCCGAATAAAGTAACACCTACATCTCACAGCTGTTCCTTGAGAGTCTTGGTAAAGGTTGCTGCTTAAGCGAAAACCCCATGAGCCCTAACAAAAACCCTGCAAATATTGGATATCCTACAGCCCCTATGAACTCTCAGCCGCGCAGACCCCAAGTACCTTTGAGGGGCAACTCCGGCGACCCTACACCCTCTTAAGCCTCATCGAAAGCTGAGACTTCCTCCCTAAACCCGACAACCTTTGCGAGCGTGTGGCCTAAGCTTCAAAGGCTTTTTGGCATAAGGCCTCGAAACCACTACTAGAAACTCAACCCCCTCGCCTAAACCCTATAGCGCCCTGCCACAACTCTATAAGATGAGTACCTCAAGACTTCGAGAGTGATGAGGGGTCGGGGCTGCCCGTGTGACGATAGGCTCCTTGCACATCTCCTCTGTTGAGGGCAATGCGATGAAGCAACTTGGGAGGGAAGAAAAAAAACCCGAAACCCTAAACCCTAAACATCTCCCCCCATTTCAGGTAGCGGATGAGCGTCGCTGCCGAAACTCCGCTGTTCAGCTGCCGACGGATCACCGCCTAGTTCAGCTGGAGAGGCGATGGTTGCACACATCTTCCTGGATGATTCTGGGCCAGTACTCGAATGCATGCCCCCACAACCCTCACCCTGGCGTATAAGGGCGAACCTAAACCCTAAACCCTAAACCCTAAACCCTATAAACCCTACAAACCCTATAAACCCTACGCATGGAGTGGCGGCAGTCTTCTTTGGCACCCCGACTGCAATCCTGAGCTGAGCCGTGCCGTCATCTTGCGCCATTTCTCGTGGGTGCCTCGCATTGATTCTCCATCCCTACCCTAAACCCTAAAACCCTAAACCCTACACCCTAAACCCTACACCCTAAACACCCTAAACCCTAAACACCCTAAACACCCTAAACCCTAAACGCCGAAAACCCTAAACCCTAAACACCCTAAACACCCTAAACACCCTAAACCCTAAACGCCCAAAACCCTAAACCCTAAACACCCCAAACCCTAAACGCCCAAAACCCTCAACCCGAGTCTGGCCTGGAAGCCCTAAACCCTAAACCCTAAAACCCCAAAAAACCCAAAACCCTAAACCCTGAAACCCAACAAAAAACCCAAACACCCTAAACCCCCAACCCCACATACCCCACATACCCCACAACCCTAAACCCCAAAAACCCCAAAACCCGACTCTGGCCTAAACCCGAAACCCTAAACCCTAAACCCTAAACCCTAAACCGCAAAAAATCAACCCTAAACGGCCTCGAAGCCCTCACCGAGGCCCAGGGCCATCGGCTCCACGGCCCAGGAGATGATTCCCCCGGCCGAGGCGCCATCCTCACGAAAGGTTTGGGGGGGTTTAGGGTTTAGGGTTTAGGGTTTAGGGTTTAGGGTTTAGGGTTTAGGGTTTAGGGTTTAGGGTTTAGGGTTTAGGGTTTAGGGTTTAGGGTTTAGGGTTTCAGAGAGGACTGTTTAGGGTGTAGGGTGTTTAGGGTTTAGGGTTTAGGGTTTAGGGTGTAGGGTTTACCTTCGCCACGTTCACAGAGTTTGGGGCCTTTGGGTTCTCTTTAGGGCTTGCACACGGGTTTTAGGATCTAGGTTGCCGGGCATAGGATTTAAGGTCTTAAGGGTTGAGGACTTAGGGTTTAGGGCTTGGGGCTTGGGATTTCGAAGAAGGTGAAATGCAAAACAACTCGGATCACTGCTTTCCCCAAGTTTTGGGCGGCTAGGGAACATCGAGGTTCAGGGTTTAGGGTTTAGGGTTTAGGATTTAGGGTTTAGGGCTAGGGTTTAGGGTCCTATGGTGCAGGGCTTGGAGCTTAGGGATGTTAAGGGTTTGGTGTGAAGGGTTTGGGGTTTAGGGTTTGGGGGTTTGGGGGTTTGGGGGTTTGGGGTTTGGGGTTCAGGAATGTCATTCAGGCTTCAGGGACGATTAAATTCAATGTCTACCCCCAGAAACAGCCAAGCACCCTCTAACAAGTGCGAACCGAGGCGCGTGCGCTTAGGTCACCTAGGTAAGCCCCAGAAGCTCGAAACTCTAACCTGGAAAACCGTACAAACCATATAAGCAATGAACCACCTGAGTACACACACACCCTTAATTTACACCCGAAACCCTAAACCCGAAATCCTAAACCACTCGCAACCGTGAAGCAGGGTGCCTCCCACCTACCTGGGCCATGACGGTGGGGAAGGCACCACTCCGGCCTGTACAGGTTTCGGGATTCAGGGCTTATGGGCCGAAGGTGGCACGCTTGTAAGTTAATTCTGGGTTTTCTTTTGAGGGTTAGGGCTTAGGGTGCTCCGAGGTATAAAGATTATGCAGGGCCTGTTTCGGGCAGTGGGATTAGGATCCCTTCTGGTAGGCACTCCTGGCATCGTCTCCGACCTGTTGGCCTACACTCTCAATCGCCCAAGCATTGGTTTAGGGTTTTGGGCTTTGGGCTCACCTGGGGCCTATACCCAGAGACTCCAAAACCCATTAATTAAGGAATATCCCTTAAATCATAATAGGAACCCTACTATGATTTAAGGTATATTCCTTAATGAAGGGGTTTTGGAGTCTCTGGGTAGGCTTTGGGGTTTTAGGGTTCAGGGTTTTGAGTCCTATGGGGCCCGCCGATATCGGAGCTTTAAAGTGTTTACGCAAGGTGCCGAGACTGCCCTGTACCCAGAGACTCCAAAACCCCTTAATTAAGGAATATACCTTAAATCATATTAGGGTTCCTATTATGATTTAAGGGATATTCCTTAATTAAGGGGTTTTGGAGTCTCTGGGCAGTTCAACATTGTTCCGGTGAGCCTGCGTGTTGTTGCTCCGGTTGTTGCAACTACTCAAGCACATCCCTGCCCGGAGCATGTCCATTCACGTTTTATGATGATAGCTTTAACAAAGACAATGAAAATCGTCACAGTTACAACTAGACCAGCAATATTCACACTACTGGTAGAATACGCTGAAGGCATGAGCTTGGAACGCAAAGTTTCAAGCGAGGGCCGAACCCTAAATGCCTAAACCCCTACGGGTGGCTCGCAGCCTTGGGCCACACCAGTTGCGCCTGCCTCTGCCTCCAATCCCTCATCGGCCGAAATCCCCGTGCTCTGCTCGACAGGCTCGTGATGCTCGTGGCAACCATGTGGACCCTGCATCTCCGTCTGGGCTTCCGGAATCGGTTCAAAGCCGCTCCAGTCGTCAATGCTCCAGACACCTTGGTTCTGCTGGTCATCCACGTTCTCCTCATCACCCATGTTGAAGAACTCGCAGTCGAGATTGCGTACAGGGTCATGTTGCTCAATGCACCTTCAAGACAATGCATCCTGGACCTTCTGTTTCTTCTTGGTTTTTGGACTCGTGGAACAAGATGTGAGAAAGCGCTTTCTCCCTGCTGACCTTGGTGCTTGCATATCTGGCGCTCCAGGCTCGCAATGCGGGCAAAAATCGCACCAAATGAGTTTTTTTTGTCGTTCACAGACCTTCTGCAGCAGGGTGTCCAGCGAGGTTCGCTGCAGCTGCAATTCATCAAAGGACCTCGAGTCACCAGACGGGGAAGCAGCCATCACGTCACAGGCCACATCTGCCAGTCCCATGGGGGTGGGGGTGGGGGGGGGGGACCATGCCCCGCTTGACTCACTTGTGGTCACACGCTGGCAAGCATAGCAAGGCCGATAGAAACTCAATTCAAGAGGGCGTCCTCTTCTTGTACATGTTCGCAGCAAAAAAATCAACATGGCTGGATGTTTCCTAAGATTTCGTCTCTGCAGCGGGTAATGCATGTTCTGGTGGCACGGACGTCACGACCAGTCGGGCATGGTGCGTGGGCAATGCATGTGCTGGTAGCATGGACGTTCTTTCGAGCATGGATGACGTGGGCAATGCATGTTCTGGTAGAACACGTGGGCGGGGCAACCCACACGATCTATCGAGGCCCTAACATAAGGGCCTGAATGATTGGAATACGGTTTCGGGCCGGGGGGGTGATCATAGTGTAATTTAAAAAGGGTAAGAGCCTAAGAGAAAATTTTCTTGTAACTATTCTGACCCCTATATTAGACAGTGACTCATTAGCAAAGCATGTTGTCACGCCGTGCGACACGCCTGCCTCCATACAATCCGCCCCGCGCGACGGATGAGCTTGACGCTTGGCCAAGGCCTTCTCAAGCCAGGCTTTGAAAGTTCAGGGTTGAAGGTTAGGGTCTAGGGTTTAGGGTTTAGGGTTCAGGGTTTAGGGTGTAGGGTGTAGGGTTTAGGGTTTAGGGTTTAGGGCTAAGGTTTAGGGTTCAAGGTTGAAGCTTAGGCTGGCCTCCCCTATAGTAGCACTGTCATTAATAAAGACCTTGTGCGGGTTAGCTGTGACAGAAAGGCAAGAACAACCTAAGTCGAGGGTTCATTCAGGGCTTACTGTATAGGCGCTCGAAAACGATCTTGCAAGCATGTGCGAGCAAAACGCCCGTGAGAAGGTGTGGGATTGTGGTTCTTAGATTCAATCTTGCAACGGTGAAAGTCTGCGATGGACCCCAAATCCCCCCAAAATCCCAAAGCCAAGAGCATTTACCCAGCAGTACATCAGGATTGGGAAATGTTGCGATTGAACACCCAGCCATGGCTAGAAACTACGAGCCCCCCTGTGACAAGCCAAAGCCTCAAACGTCGTGGAGCTAAGCATCCCACGCAATGCTGGCGTCGTCACGAAGGAACTTCTTCGATGGTGCGGCTGCAGTGGAAAACCTGCACTGATGCTTGCAGGACAGCATCTTTGGGCGGTTATCCGTAGGGCGCTACCTGAAAACCGTCGCCTAAGCCGGATTGGTGCTCGTGTATGTTGCGAGAAAAAAGCACCTATACCCTATGCCGAGCAGAGCAATGTATCCAAGAAGACGTTTTGAAGACCCTAAATCATGAATCCCTATGAGCCGATCACGCCCCTGAAACTTGAAGCCTACACCGGAAGCAATTATTAAAACCAACCGGTTACATCTTCAGACATCCCCTGTCGTAGTCTTGTTCAGGTAGATTCCTGCCCGATGATTCTCCATGCATGGGGGGGGGGTATTCAAACTGTCTGCTTCTAGAACACCCCTACCGCCACGCTCAAGCGGGCACAGTGCAGCCCACAAACGGCAAACTCCAGCTGTCAGCAACAGGCAAACCAAGCGCATCAACAGGCAAGAGCCCTTCCGCCGCCACTTCGCATGAAAACTTGCACATTGCTTTTAGACTTGCCCAAACCTTCTTTCACATGTGTGTAAGCGAACATCACTCATAAGCATGTATTTAAGTCAGCCCCAGCCAATCAACCACCCCTGAAGCCGCAAAATGAGCCCGCAACTGTGGCACCTATACCCCGAGCTTGTCGAAAACAGACATGTCACCCGAAAGCACAACATTTTCCCGACCTTGAACTTGAACCCCCAAGTCCTCACGCACTAGGATCCTAAAAAAAACAGCACATTGGGGTGGTCAAGCGTACGAACTAGCCCTTCTGCTGGGGTCACGAGTCTCGTCCCCCAACCCTAAGCCCTCAACCCTGAAAAACGGCCTATGGTTTAGGGTTTAGGGTTTAATTAGGGTTTATGATTGAGAGCAGGCCCATGCAAAGGCTTGCCTACGAAAGCATTGCGAGGATCGGGTCAGCACCACCTCCAGCCAAGAGACACGTTTAGGGTTTAGGGTTTAGGGTTCAGGGTCTAGGGTGGTGTTTTGGTATACCTTTCAACCATCCCAGTGTGAAAAGTGTTTATGAAACTGGAAACCCTCCCTTCGGTAGATGCTTTAACGTATAGGAGGGAGGCTAACCACTACCCTAAACCCGTACCTCGATACATGTATACATATATATATATATATATGTATATATGTGTATCTGTATATATGTATATATATATATGCACATACATATCTCTCTCTGAATCCCTAACCCTAAACTGGGTTGAGGAGTCCTTATAACTGAGGGGTTGGAGACACATGGGGTGATGCGGGGTGGAGGGTGGGTGGAGTTTTGTGGTGGCTTAGGCTTATGTAGGCCTTTATGGCTTTGGGCCTTTATGGTGATGGCTTCGAACTTTGGTTCAAGGGCTTAGGGTTTAGCTTCGGGATGGCTCGAGGCTGCCAGGTTCGTACCGCTTCGAGGATTTGCTTCGTGCAGTTTAGGTTCAGATGTCTAGGTACGCCGGAACCTCTGACCACTTAACTTCAAAATTCTAAACCCTAAAGCCTATAAACCCCACTAAAACCCTAAGCCCTTAATCCCCTCGAAGCCTCGTCCGCCTCGGAGGAGTCGGATCCATGGCCCTCCCAAGCGCGCCACCTCTAGGATGAAACACTCTGGACTCCAGACCCTTTTGGGTTTCGGGTTTAGGTTTAGGTTTGGGGTTTAGGGATGTTTAGGGTTTAGGGTTTAGGGTTTAAGGTTTAGGGATCCCTGAGACCGCATATTCCGTGCAGTTCATGGAGAGTTCTAGGGAGTGTGTTGCTCGAGTGTCTGGGTGTCTGGGTGTCTGGGTGTCTCGGTGTGTGGGTGTGTGTGTGTGTGTGCGTTGGTTTGTGCGTGCGCGTGCACGTGCGTGTTGGTTTGTGTCTTTTTGGTTGGGAAGCGGGGTTCTGCAAAGTCGGAGGCTGCTCCTTTGAGGCAGGCAGGAGCTACTTGGCTGTGTGGTCTAGAGTCTCAAATGAAAGCGGAGGTGGGAGGATGAAGGCTAAAGTGGGCACCATGCCCCAGGCGCATAGGTTTTTGACTGGACAACGACTGAGACGGAGATGAATCAAACTTCCTTTCTTCACACCGTGACAAAAGTGAAAAGACATGCCTGGCAGGATTTGGTGGCAAGGATGCGCAACTGACACTGCGCTTCCTATCCTCAAACCTCAAGCCCTGAAGCCCAAGCAATCTCAACGGATAACTGATGTTTCAGCCTTTGGGGATTGTTCAAAGGCCCTGACCCCCAACTTAAACCGCAAAGCCTAAAGCCTAAACCCTAAACCCTAAACCCTAGACCCTAAACCCTAAACCCTAAACCCTAAACCCAAACCCCAATCAACGAATCCTAACTTCGAAATCATGAACTGACTGCCCGGTCGCCTGGCTGCCGCCTCCTCACTGCGGGCAAAAGTGGCTCGGAGCTCCTCGCGAAGGTCCTGCAGGTGCGGGTATGCGGCTTATAAGGTTTTGGGTTTTATAGGGTTTAGGGGTTAAGGGTTTAGGGTTTAAGGCTTGGGGTTTATAAGGTTTAGGGTTTACAGGGTTTTGGGTTTAAGGAGCCCGGGCCCTGAACCAACTGCACGTGCAAGGCCCCGGAGCGGCCCGTGGAAACCCTTTTCTTCGAAGCATGTCGCAGCGGTCAAAGGAGCCGAGGAGTCTCTTTGAGAAACTCGGGCCCCCTAAATCCCCAGAGACTCCAAAACCCCTTAATTAAGGAATACACCTTAAATCATATTAGGGTTCCTATTATGATTTAAGAGGTATTCCTGAATTAAGGGGTTTTGGAGTCTCTGGGTCCTAGACCCTATAGACACGACTGCCGAGATGGGTCTAGCAGGCACTCATGTTGGGAAGTCCGGGATAAGACCCTGGACCCTAAACCGCCCCCAACTGGACTTTGCCAAGATAGCAGGTGTGTGTAACCTGGGGCGGTGCAGCGACAAAGTACGAGTGGGGACAGCATATGCGGCAGGAACAATGCCGAATTCTGCACAACTAAACCTTATAAACCCTGAACCTGAAAAAAACCCTAGACCCTAAACCCGAATCACGAAGCGAAGGCTCATGTTAGTAGTGGGAATCATTGTTGCTTCGTCGTCCCGGGCTGTGCAAGAAGGAAGGACCCGGACTTTGCCGCTTTGGCAAAGGGGGCCACAAAATCCACGCAGGCCACCGCGGTAAGGATCAAAAGGATCTGGGCCACAGCGTAAGCCTATACTCCCCATAGAACCTTAATAAAACTAATATTATTTAATACCCTCTTGGGTTTTATAGAAACAAAAATTAAAAAAAATCCCAAAAGGGGGATGTAGAAGCATTCTGGCCAAACGCGCCGATCACGTAGCGCACAAGTGGCGGGGCCAAGGCGCGGGTAGCGTACGTCACAAACTTCCTCACGACGATGTAGTTCCTTGCGAGTTTCTAGTTATGAAGCAGGTAACAGGAACCTTAACTCCCCCCATATTCACCCTTCAAAGGATCTTCTATTCCCAAATTCTTTACAGTATACTAAGAGCCAGCAAGGTTCTGCAGGCTGCAGGAAGAATTGGGGACAGCAGCTTGCATTGCAACGCCATCCATAAATCCAGAGAGTTGGATCATGCTGGTATAGTTGACGATGTCGGCGAGTATCAACAACCAGGCAGAACGCGGACCACCAACGCCTGCCCAATCAACAAAACCGAGGGACCCCAGCATGCCGGAAACAGCCAAGATCATCATGAGCTGTCGATCTGACACCAGCCACCCTCGCACGAGCAGGACCAGGCATCCCATCACAGCCGTACCCAAGAAGATCGCGCCCATCACGAAGCCGATGGCTTGCGCCTTCCACCCATACTTCGTCTCCAGCATAAGGCTGGTGGCTACTTCCATGGCGGAGCTAGTGAAGGACCGCTCAGCAGTGAACCTCACAACCACCCAGACAAGGGACTTCCGCTTCTCCTCACTGACGCCTTCCCAACGAGCATCATCCGTAACTTCCACCTCCTCAGGGCTCAACAATCTGGCATCTCCTTCGGGAACACTGGGTGGACGCATCGTCTGCAGAAGGGTGTAGATCGACCACATCGTTCCCAAAAAGCTCAGCACGTCCTGGCCGCTTCTTGAGGCCATGTTTGTTTTGTAGATCTCAAGCAATGTGGAACAAAGCACGGGGCCCAGAAACAAGCCCAAACCCAACAAGAGGAAGCATAACAGCGACAGTGTGGCGCGATTGTCCATGGAGGCCTGTTCAAAAGCCATAGCTTCAAGGGGTGTAGTGAATATTGCAAATGCAAAGCCGTTCAGAGCACGCAATGTCACCAGCAGAGACATCACCGTGGCATCTTGCCAGTGCTGGCTCATTGCAAGCACTGCAACGCAGGACCATGTTAGCAGCACATTCACCCAGGAGGCAGCGTCCACGATTTGACGCTGGTGCTCGTAGGGCAGGTTGCACACCATACGTCCCACGAATAGAGCCAGGGGCTGCAAAGCGTAACGGGCAGCCAAAACCAGACCGGACATAGCGGCCCCATAGTGAAGCTCCGCACTGATGTCGTAGATCACCGGGATCAGCATGGTCATGTCCAACGATTGGAGCAGCTGCTGCAAGAGCACGAGAAATTGGTCGAAATACTTCGAGTGGCTCAGCTGCATGACGCTGGAGGCGTGTAAGCCACATGCCCATATCGCCCCTGCCGCCACAAGGCACAGGACTGAGCAGGTACCGAAGAGGCCCGTCGATCCTGAGAGGGCTTCTGAGCTGGTAGGCTTAGGATTCGAGGGCTTCATGCCCCAAACACCCTAAACCCTAAACCGGCCCTAAACCCTAAACCCTAAACCCTAGACCCTAAACCCTAAACCCTAGACCCTAAACCCTAAACCCTAAACCCTAAACCCTAAACCCGCATGCCGGTTATGGTCCTGAGAGGGCTGTGCTCTTTGCAGCAAGGGCTGCCGGCAGCTGCTGCAAGGCTGCTGGAAGCTGCAGGAGGCTGCTGCGCTCGGCATCTGAGGGTTCCATGGCCATGGAACCCTAAACCCTAAACCCTAAACCCTAAACCCTAAACCCTAAACCCTAAACCCTAAACCCTAAACCCTAAACCCTCCAGAACCTTAACCCCTGCGAGGGAGAATTGTTGAAGGATTGGTTTTTGGGGGGGCGGGAGGCTCAGATTGCCCCTTTTTTGGGGAGTGGACTTGCACAGAGCAAAGCCTTGGAGGAAGGTAAACCCTAAACTTCCAAAACCCTAAACCCATGGAGCCGAAACTGTGCTGTGACAGGATAGGGCTTGAACAAATTGATTCTCTCTATCGGTACGCCTGTCACGAGTTGCTTCACCGCATTCTTCATTGGAGCTACTTGGAGGCTGTCATTGTTGCATCTTTTTGGGTCCTGAACCGTTTCTCTTTTGGCTTCACCCGTTGAAGAGCTGAACCCCCGCGACTTTTTTCCCGTGGATTCATGGATGCCATGATGTACATTGACACACACACCTAGGAACAACTCGTGTTGCAGGCATGGGACAGGTCATTCATGCCTGGGGTGTCTTTGGGAACCCTGTTTAGGGTTTAGGGTTTAGGGCTTAGGGTTTAGGGTTTAGGGTTTAGGGCTTAGGGCTTAGGGTTTAGAGTTTAGGGAACCCTGCTGCCCGGATGTCTGTGGTACATGGCAATGACAGTGAAGCTACCTAGGCTTAAGGTCTATGAGCCGGTGAAGAAAGGCGATGTAAACCCGTTCGCCATAAACCCCGCACGCAACCTTTAAAAACAACTTCCCCCCCCCCCCCCCCCACAAAATAAAAACCCTCAACCCTACCTTCTCTTGTCCCTTTTCATGGGTCTCCTGCTCTTCAGGGTTCATCACGGCTTCCTGGACGCAGGTGGGGCGGGGGGGGGGGGGGGTGTCTGGGCTCTCTTGGCAAGCTCGACTTGTGGGTTTTGACCCTGTCTAAGATTCAAATTTCTGTGGGTTTATGCGGGATATGTTGAAAAAAACCCTCAACCCTAAACCCTAAACCCTATAAAACCCTAAAACCGTAAGCCCTAAACCCGGAGCCGAAAGAACGTAAACATGCTCACCATACCAACCCCTGTGCTGACAAAGCCCGACACCTTCGCCCTTTGTAAGGCCAAATGCCTGTCCTGACAAGAGGCATAGGAGCGGCTGATGACAATGCCACAAGATAAGGTCTTACGAGGACTCCGATCGAACCCAATAGACCCCTAACACACTTCTGAACCCTAAACCCTGGAAGACCCAAGTCCCAGGATCAATCAGGTTGCCCAATTCCCTAGGACGAAAAAGCGTGCTCTTTTTGCTTAACCCTAAACCCTAAACACTAAACCCTAAACCCTAAACCCTAAACAGGGTTCATGAGCAAGAGCATAGAAGCACGTGGGGGGGGGGGGGGTTCGACCCCTGAGACATCCAGCATCAACCAGCCTCCAGAGTCTCGCCTGCCTCGCGGAGAAGCGCTCAACCCAAAGCGCACAAAGCCACACCCACAACTCAACAACCCTAAGCCCTGGACCCTCAACCCTAACTGAGCCCCTTGCACTCCTTAAACCCTTGAAAATCCCAAATCCCAAACCCTTAAACATTCTGCGCCAAACGGAGTGTGGAAGTCACAGCCGGGGGTGTCAAAGCGTTCAAAAGTCAGTTTCTACTAGGGTTTAGGGCTTAGGGTTTAGGGTTTAGGGTTTACGGTCAGGGTCGTAATCTTTCGATAAGGGTTGCAGGGAGGTCCCCCCCGGTAACCTCGGAGGTACAATCACGAAGTTGTTCTTTGTCCATTGGGGTTCGTATAAGCCAACATAGTCCTGAACCAGAAGCCGTGGGCCGTGAACGTAAGAAATGGGATCTTGGAATCGCTTTTTTGTGGCTAGGGTTAGGTTTACCAAGGGTATAGGAGTACAGGTTGTAGAAGGGCTTGTTGCTTCGGGGTTTCACGCGTAGGCTCTTCAGGATCTAGTGCATCGAGTTTGCGGTTTTGGAATTCGGGGATGAGTCTACTAAAGGAGTGTTGGGTGTCGAGTTGTATGCTCCGCATAAAAAACAATATGCTGCCGTTTGACGGACAATGGCGGGCGGTTCACGGGGGTCACGCTGGTAAACTGGCAGCGCTTCCCTGCACCCATAAGCCCTACTTAGCTCCAAAGCGACACACAAATCCGATTCTGCTCCTAGGCATCCTTTTCAGGCGAGAACAGTTCTTGTATATTGAAGCCATGACCCCCGACATCCCGAAATTACAGTAGGGTCCCTCTTTGGGAGGGTCTTGGACACCAGGTTAGCCAAGAAACTCTTTGGTCCTCGTAGTTTTCTGCTACACGAAACCCGAAAGCAGCGAACGCTTGAGGCGATGTCTGCCTCATCCGCATGCTGATGCTCTGGCTCCTCTTTGACCGCCTCGGGCTTGGGATGAAACATGGGCGATGGTCATGCAGACTTTCTCTGCCTCCTGCCTCAAGATAGAGAAAACGGAAAACATAGAGGACTTAGCTGCGCTTTGGCACCTGGCAATAATATCTTTTCGCTGTCTCATCGAGAAGCCCATAAAACCCGAATCAACCTATGGGTCTGAGGTTGCTGTAAAGAGCCAGAGAGGAGTTCCACTGGCAGCCAACTCAACCTCACAGGCCTCTTCCCCCCAGAAAACTTGCTTGGAATTACATGTAAGGCTGCAAGTACCCTAAGGAACAGTATGTGAAAGCCACTTATAGCTAGAGTTGCCTGTTATGCACAACTTCAGCGAACGCTACCCACAAACCTCCAAGCAACTCTCATCCGAGGCGCGCATATTCGCGCAACCCCAGGAGCCTCCTCCTGATTCAATTTGCGGCGTTGGTACGGAGGCCGTTGGGGGGTTGGCAGGTTTTAGGGAAATTTTCGGGTTCATCGAATTGGCCCGGTTTGGCACACAAACTATAACGAAGTGCCAATAAGTACAGATATATACATACATATACAAAAAACGACAAACAAATCTGTAAAATGTTTTCATGTATATACACATATATATATATATACCTACATACATATCTATAAAATTCAAAATGTAATGTAAATATGTATTTTTCCCCCCCCCCCCCCCCCCCCCCCCCCCCCCCCCACCCAATGACCCACCTCTGGCTATCGATGATGAATAAGGGGTACGAGGGTCAAGGATTTACTGGACCTTGGGACCCCCCTTCAAAAGATCTGGGAGTCTGGAAAAGCATCGGGACCCCTGGATCTGGCAATCTGGTAAGATGTGGGACCAAGTGAATCTGGAAATCTGAAAATATGGAAAGTTCATGGGTTCGCTCCGGGTAGTGAATGGGTGGCCTTGGGATGGGCATGTCTTCACGCAATTGCATCCAGCTACCCTAAACCCTAAACCCTAAACCCTAAACCCTAAACCCTAAACCCTAAACCCTAAACCCCAAACCCCAAAGCTTAGCTTGTGGGCCTCGGCTTTTGAGGGCACAAATGTGAGCAGCATGAACTGCTGCCAGGGAGCATGAGCTCCACACGGCACCAGGGAGGTGGATCAGAGGGGGGGGGGGGGGGGGGACCATACATGTAATACATACTTTGAAAATGTACATATTTACATACAGTTTTATTTCTCAATTCATATATGTATATATACACATGTATAATATATATACATATATATATACATATGTATCTATAAGATTCTGTGCATTTAATACAATATTGTAATATACACATATCATAGAGCATATCATAAAACAGAAAAAACGAAGTTGCCGTCAGAACGGTGTGCAAACGCATCTCAGCTCTTGCATCTACTGCCATTGTTCGCCATTCAATTGCTTGTCGCATGCTCGCGTAAACCCTACGTGCCCCTTGATCCCTTCTTAACAGTTCATGGGTGGTTTGAGGTACAGTGGGGTTAACCACATAACTAGCTACCAAAGTGGCCATGAACCTCCAGGTACACCCGAACGCCTTGGCCATCCCTCACAACAGGAAGGCGCCAACCCCCTCAACCCTAAACCCTCAACCACCCACAAACTACGCATCCCATGAACCCTAAACCCTAAAGCCTAAACCCTAAACCCTACACCCTAAACCCTAAACCCTAAACCCTAAACCCATTTGGGCTTCTTTGTTTGAGGAGCTGGGGGCCTCCGGTTGTCGGGCTGAAAATTAAGGTTGAGAGTTTCAGGGCAGCTTGTCCTCGTGCAGCGGCTCGGACTCCTCCTGCCGCACCTAATGCAGCAACAGGCCTAGAAAAGCCTATAGTTTCGGGTTTAGGGTTAAGTGTTCAGGGCTTGGGGTTTAGGATTTCGGGTTTAGGGTTTGGGGCGTGCTAAGCCCAACACCCCTAGTACCCTAGTTGTTTTTTGCCGTGCCTAGGGGTTGCGCGATTCATCTAAGCCCTAAACCGTAAACCCTAAACCCCCCGCGGGTTCGGGCTTTTTGGAACCCTGGTAGTAAAACGGCAGGTTTAGGGTGAAACCCAAGGCACAGAACCCTACAAACCCTACACTCACGGATTCAAAGCCATATCAGTCCCATCTACCCCCCCAAAACCCTGTAGACTTGGGATGTTCCGCCTTATACTAACTAACAGTCCTTAATAGGGATTAAAGTACCCCCCCCCCCATTATAATCCTTATAAGGGGGAACATCCCGACTGTAGACCCGATTGTCAAGGAGAAAACCGGGGGTCAGGGCCAAACCTCGATTCTGCACCCTGCCCTAAACCCCCTACTCCAAACCTAACCCTACACTACAAAGCCTTATAGCCCTAAACCCCCTACTCTAACCCCTAAACCTTATACAAAGCCCTAGAAAGCCCTATGAACCGTACCACGTAAACTCTGATGAGCCCCATGAGCCCAACAAACCCTACAACCGCCGACCGAAAGTCAAACTGGCTGGGCGCCCATCCAACCCAAGCCCGGGTTTAAGGGGTTGCGGTCGGGGTTGGGGGTTTGGGGGTTTACGGGTTTCGGGTTTAGGGTTTAGGGTTTCGGCTTCAGGGTTTAGGGATTATGAAAGACATCATGCGGACAATGCTGAAGCGACGAAGCCCCTTAAGGAAAGCCTGCGAGAGCAAATCAGTTGCAGTCAACCCAGCTGCCCCGCCTGCCTGTGGGCGCGGCGGTTGAGGCTCCCCCCTAAACTCGAAACCCTAACCCCTAAACTCGAAACCCTAAACCCAAACCCTAAACTCGAAACCCTAAACCCTAAACCCTTTTAGGAAAGGTTTGGGTATTTCAGGGATCCAGGGCTTCGGGCGCGTAGGGGCTCAGGGTTTCGGGTCTAGGCGATCCAGCCTAGAATCTCATGGTTCTGGGGTTTAGGGTTTAGGGTTTAGGGCTTAAGGGTTCAAACCCTAAACCCTAAACCCTAAACCCGAAACCCTAAACCCTAAACCCGAAACCCTAAACCCTAAACCCTAAACCCTTTCAGTGTCAGGCCTTCACGGCTGCAGGAGCAAGGGCCTGTGGAGGAGCTGGGGCTGGCGGCTCCTCCCGACAAGGCAAGACCTGCTACATCCTTCATCACCAGGGCTTGTGAACCCTAAATCCTAAATCCTAAACCCCAAACCCTAAACCCGAAACCCTAAACCCTAAACCTTGGGCTTGCCCCTAAACCGTAGACTCTAAACCCTAAGTGGAGTCTCCCAAGTTTAGGGGCACCCTTTATGCCACCCAAAGCCGAATAGTAGAATCGCCCCACTCCCCCCACCCCTCCCAATGAATCAACCAACGGCAAGAAGGTTGGCCCTAGACTAGGTTTGGGATGTAGGGTGTAGGGTGCAGGTTTTAGGGTCTCCTTGAGAGGCAAGAATGGAAAAGGTGCCCCTCTTATTAGTTCAACGAACCTTTTCAGGAGCCCTGAGAGGGAAAGAGGTGCTACAAGGCATCCTAGCGAGACTATTCCTGCATCAGATGCGCCTGAAGTCTAGTACAAACTCAACACAGATTCAACCCCACATTCAACCCCTTAAACCACCCTAGACCCCCAAATAGTTGAGTGGATTTGAAGGCAGAATCCAGCAAAAGCATCCGAAATTAACAAGGAAAACCCAGTTTGTGCAATTATTTCTTTGGGGACCCTTGTAACCATAGGGCGCGGGACCTCCTCCTTTGGCTCCTCCTTGCTTGCCATGGCTGCTTCGACCTCCGACTTCTTCTGCGTGTGAGCGTTACTTCGGTGCTGAGTTCAGAAGCCCCGAACAAGTGTACACTGTTTTTCAGTTCTGTCGGGGGTTATAATCTCCCGAAAAGTGTAACGTGTACTCATCCAGCTACTAAGGTTAGAGAACACTGCTAGAACAGGCTACTGCTCTCCCAGGGTTTATGACAACGCTTTAACTCTAGGGGCCTATTCAACTAGAATGGGGCATTCTGGGCGGCTATATCAAATACACATATAAAAACACATATACATGTACATGTACATGTACATGTACATGTACATGTACATATACATATACATACACATATACATGTTCATATGTGTGCATATATATATATATGAAGATTTATGTAAAATACAAATTCACTTTTACAACCATGGGGAATCTCTCTCTATTAATTGATCTACATATTTCTCGCTATCTCTCTCTGTCTTTCTCGCTCGTGAGAAAAGACCACGTCCAACGTGCCCATTTACAAGTAGTTCAAAAAAACGATCGCATTAAACAGCATTTAAAGTTAAGAGGGTTTAGGGTTTAGGGTTTAGGGTTTAGGGTTAAATGAAGCTTCCACGGTCCCAATCTCGAAGCCCTAAAGACAAAGGCGCAGCAAGATCTCCAAATCCTATGTTACATGGTCCCTTGATATGGGCCCTTAAATGGGGGCCTCCTATATGGCCCGCATGTACCCTATAAAAACCCCCACACTCCAGAACACTTTGAAGAAGGTAAGGGACCATACCCTAAACCCTTAACCCCAGGTAAGGGACGACAATGTGAATATCCTTAGATAGACAACATGCCCGAATAAGCTACCCAAAACCAAACGTGAAACACTACAGGGCCTAAAACCGAAACCCTCTTAAGCACTCAAGGGGATTAAGGCCTTCAGGCTTTCGGGTTTTGTGTTTAGGGTTTAGGTTTAGGGCTTAGCGCACGTTGTGACTGTTGGGGGTTTTTTCTCCCCAACCACCCCCCCCCCCCCCCCCCCAAAAAAAAAAAAAAAAAAAACAAGCGCCTTCACCTCGGCTTCGAGTAGGCCGGGCTTGCACTCGCAAGCCTTTCTCTTGGTAGTTCTTGGGCTTGTAAGCAAGTGAGGTAACTAGACCAAAACTTACTTCTAGCCCCCCAACTAAGGTACGTACTTATAACCCTACTTACTAAGTGCCCCGATCCTCCAAGTAGGTGCCTGCAGAACACTTGGAAGGACTGTGTAGGGATCCTAAATCCCTCCGAAAAACATCCAGACACCTGAAGGCGCAAAGGGCAAGCCGAGAAGAGTAGTAAAGCTTTGGGTTTCTGGCCTAGGGTTCAGGGACTAATGCTGAGGGCCTTGATCCCCACAGCGGACCAGGGTAGCTTTTGGGTAGTTAAAGAGTCAGGGGACTTAGCAAGTGGGGATCTGAGTAATGTACCTATACTTACAACTCCTTAAAAGCCCAATTAAGGTACCTATAGCCTTACTTGCTAAGTGCCCCGATGCTCCAAGTAAACCCTAAACCCTAAACCCTAAACCCTAAACCCTAGACCCTGGACCCTAAACCCATTTGGTGATTACTTGAGGGAGCCATGGCCCGCCAAAAGGGAAGGGAAAGCACACATCAGAACGAGTCATTTAGGGTTTAGGGTTTAGGGTTTGGGGTTTAGGGTTTAGGGTTTAGGGCTCAGGGCCCGGGGTGTCGTGAACTTTCGCTCCTGAACTCTTCTCTCCCCAAGACACAAGCCACCCCAAGACTACGTACCCTAAGCCCAAGACTTACAAACCCCAAGCCCAAACCCGAAACCCCAAAAACCCCGACCGACCCTAAGCCATATCATCCCGAAGCCCGAAAACCCCCTAAACCCTAAACCCTGAACCCTAAACCCTAAACCCTAAACCCTAAACCCGAAACCCTAAACCCTAAACCCTAAACCCTAAACCTAAACCCTAAACCCCAAACCCCAAACCCTAAACCCCAAACCCTGCCTCAGGCGACGGAGCGGCCCCCTCCTCGGCCTTAGGCGGTAGGAGCTCCTGCCAGGAAGGTCTTCTGAGCTGCATGGGGTCCCTGCATGCTTTAGGCTGGTTTAGGGTTTAGGGTTTAGGGTTTAGGGTTTAGGGCTTAGGGCTTAGGGTTTTAGGGTTTAGCCCTTTACGAACAGTCCTTAATAGAGATGATCATAGGGGGCACCATAGTCCCTACTAAGGACCGTTAGTATAAGAGGGACCATCCCAAGCTTGAGGGCTTTTACTGGGCTAGGGTTCATGAATAGGCCTTAGAGGGGTTATATTGTTCATTGGGCTCATGGGGCGCATAGCTTGTGGATAGCTTTAGGGCTTGTAGGGTTTAGGTTGAAGGCCCTAAACCCTAAACCCTAAACCCTCTGAACACTAAACCCTAAACCCCCTAAAGGGGCTTCATGATTGTAACAGGTTGAAGGCTTTGACTCTGGAACATGAGATGCCCGTAGCAGAGGTCCTGCACACCCGGCACATCCACTGGAGGTGCAAAGTCCGGAGCGTGCTCCTCCGCCTGGCACGTTCGTGGACCCTAAACCCTAAACCCTAAACCCCAAACCCTAAACCCTGGACCCTGAGATTAGCAAAACTGTTCCCTCCTGAGCAGCTCATGAGAGGCTGCCGAGCAGGTAGCCAAGGAGGCTTGCCCAAACCCTAAACCCTAAACCCTAAACCGTAAACCCTAAACCCTAAACATCCCTAAACCCTCTTCACACTAAATCCAGACCTCCCTAAAGGGGCTTCATGATTTTCACGGCTTCTTGTTGCGCGGCCCTTATAAGTCTTTGGGTTTTTCGGCTACTTGGACTTTGGGGTTTATTATGTCCTTGGGATTGTTCTGGTTTCCTTGTGTTCGGAAGGGCTTTCATGACAACCCTAAACCCCACCCTAAACCCTAAACCCTAAGTTGTGGGTTCTTTGTTTTGGCGGGTATGGGCCCATGGGTTTTTTCGGGTACATACGGGGTATATAAGGGGTCCCCACTTAAGGGCCCATATTGAGGGACCAAACCCTAAACCCTACACCCTAAACTCTAAACCCTAAACCCTAAACCCTAACCCCCTAACCCCCTAAACCGCATCTGTTGCACCTTCACGTCCGACAGCAGGTGCTCGTCCTTTGCGGCTTCCAGCTTCGGTGACACCTGGTTTGGAGGTGGCTCCGGAGTGCGGAAGCACACGGGTTTAGGGTTTAGGGTTTAGGGTTTAGGGTTTAGGGTTTAGGGTTTAGGGTTTAGGGTGCCCAGACAGAGAAGGAAACTAATACAACCAAACCGACCACGCTAAGTATCTGGCTTAACACACAAACAAACAATATTTCGAACTATCTTTGCTGCAGGTCATTTGCTATGATGACATTCATTCTGATAAGGGGTTTAGGGTTTAGGGTTCAGGGCTTTGGCATCACCAGGACCCGGATTTTCGGGGGTCCGGAGGAAGCTTCGGAGCTTAGTCCAAGACTCCAATGCATGCTTTATGAAGGAGTGCTCCTGTATAAGGAGCCCTACAACCCCAAACCCTAAACCCGAGACCGTAAAAACCGAACCCTGAACGCAAACCCCAAACCCTTACTTAAGGGGTATGGGAGCAGGTCCTGTTCTGAAGTCCGATCGGAGCCCGCCGCGAAGACCTCCTTACACTTACACCTTGACACCTTGACAAACCCTAATCCTTCCCAGTCTCAACAAGCCTAAGCCCTTAAACCCTCCCCCCCCCTCTCCAGAACCTAAACTCCCTAAGGCCAAGCCACTGAGGCCCACACCCCCACAAACCCTAAACCCTAAACCCCAAACCCTAAAGCTCCCCCACCCCCCTCATGGCCCGCCTCCATACTTCTCTCCTCCTTGGTGATGCACTGGGGAGGATCGTCAGGCGCCTGCACACAAGGGCTAAGGCTTAGGGTTTGTAGGGTTTAGGGTTGTAAGGTTTAGGGTTTGTAGGGTTTGGGGTTGTGAGGTTTAGGGTTTGTAGGGTTTAGGGTTTGTAGGGTTTGTAGGGTTTAGTGTGTGAGGATGATCTAGGGTGAAGGTCCCACGTGTAGTCTTTTGGTGACACTGTCGAGTGCCGAATGGACCCTATAAACTTTAAACCCCTAAGCCCTAAACCCTAAACTTCTAAACCCTACAAACATATAAAGATAAACCATAAAAACCCGAGCCTTGGGATGTTTCCCCCTTAAACTAACAGTCCTGAGTAGGGATAATCGTACTCGCTATGACATTCCCTATTGAGGACTGGTCGCATCAAGGGGAACATCCCAACCCAAGCCCCCAAACCCAAACAAGGCAGTGGCCATCGGGACTGTGGGAGCCCAGGGGGTCATCTGGCCAAGGGTTTAGGGTTTAGGGCTTGGGGTTTAGGGTTTCGGGTTCAGGGTTCAGGGTTGAGGGTTGAGGGTTTAGGGTTGATACCCGTACATACCGAGTTATGCAAGGTGACGATGGAGACATCATGCAGCATCATATAAAGCCATATGATGTAGAACGTATGAAGCATCGCGTAAGCTGACACCATATGAGTCTACGTACAAATACATATACACATACATATACATATAGATGTACGTACGTATATTATGCATGCATGCATGTATGCATAAGCTCCCACACTCCCGCCCCGCACCCCCCCCCCCCCCCCCCCCCCCCCCCCCCCCCCACCAAAAAAAACAACAAACAAACAAAAAAACACACACCAACAAAAAAAAACAAAACGAAGCTTTAAATCACTTCTTATCCTTCAGAGCATTCCGCCGAGCCGAGCCCAGGGCCTCCAACTTGGTGGAGATCTTGGTACCGAGCGGCTCCTGAGGAAGCGCGCAGAGCCGAGGGTACAGGGGCTCCAAGGTTTTACAGGGTTTTGTCAGGGGTTTGAGAGTTTAGGGTTTAGGTGTTGGGGTTTTAGGTTTTAGGGGCGGGGGTGAGGATTTAGGGTTCAGGGTTTAGGGTTTGTTGTGGTAGGGTCTAGGGCTAAGGGTTGAGGATTGGGGTTCCGAGGGATCGGGGCTCAGGGATTAAAGGCTACCCTTTGAGAATACATCGGGGTATGTATATATATAAGTTCAAATAAACAACTATACACATAAAAAATAAGAATAGATATGAATTTATATATGCATAAATTCATGTATACAAAAATGTACTGTAGCACTCCGAAAGTATGACTACATAAAGGTTTCCTGCACCCCTACGACGATGAAGCATTTTTCAATTCATGGATTTGGCTGTAACTCCTTTCTTCGGCTCCAGAACACTATAGAATGAACATTCTGTAGCACAGGGTTTAGGGTTTAGGGTTTAGGGTAATTAATTTTTCATTAATTTAAGAACATTCTGTAGCACAGGGTTTAGGGTTTAGGGTAATTAATTATTAGTTAATTTTTTATTAATTATAAATTAAGTATTCATCAATTATTAAGTATTTTTAAATTAATTATGAATCAACTATGACTAATTAGTTAATGATTTTTTTAAATTATTAATTGAGAACTTATTGGTTATTAATTAATTATAACTTAATATCTAATTACTTATTCAATAATAATGAATTAGTTATTAACTAACTAATTGATTAATTAATTAATAACTAACATCTATTAAAATACACGCATCAGGACATTTACTTTTTAACTCGGTGCGCGCGAAAGCTACGTGCGAAAGAAGGGTACTGGAAACAGCGTGATCCCGGGCCAAGCCTAGGATATCCACCTATTCAATCCTATCCCCTCCGTCCCCCCTACTTTGGCATCGCGTTGGACTTATCGGTTTACAAGTAACTTGCATGTTAAGCATAATTTTCTATGTTGGGTGACAAGCGTCATATCTCTCTCATATCTTCAAGCTAAGTTATGTAAACTGACGCCATACTTGTGCACCAAACATGTAATTAGCGGCCACTTGGCGGCCAAGCCTCGAAAAGGTTAGCTGCAACTTGGCCAGTTACCAATATATGATCGTTTTGGCTTTTATGCGATAGCCACGAAATGTGTACATGTTTTCTTACAAATTGCGTATGTTCTCCACTCTTGCTTGTCTTTTCTAAACCCTAAACTTATAAATGTTGAATGCCAGATCATCCACTGTTTGCCCTCTATCGCAGGAACATCAGTCTTGTAGTAGTTGCAGTTCTGCTTCTGGTCGGCTCCTTGCCTTGCATACATATATATATATATACATACATACACACATACATATATATATATATGTGTTTGTATTTCCCTCAGGCGGACGGCAAAACATAATTAGAGCAGACAATATTCAATTTACTTAAACCTCATATTGTTCAAATAGCACAATTCACTTAAACCACCAAATTATTCAGAATGCTCAGTTTACTTCTTCATGCATCTTTGTCAAAATTATCAAAATTATCAGAGCAGACAAAATGCCTACATCATGCATCGTTGTCAAAAATATTTGTCAAAATTATAAGATCAGAGCAGACAATATGCCTTCATCATGCATCCTTGTCAAATTATTAAGCCTTCCATCATGCATCCTTGTCAAATTATATGAGCAGACAATATTCACTTTACCCCAACCTCATATTGTTCAAAAAACACAATTCACTTGAACCACCAAATTATTCAAAATGAGCCAAGCGCTGCGCATGCCAAAAAAGGGGCCGCCCCTCCAGCGGCTACGACCAGGAGTCGAAACCACAACATATAAAAACAACATGAACTCCAAAACACCACAACATTATACACCTTACATTTTTAACTCCTGGCCGCAACCGCTTGTCCCGGCCTGATACGCTTGGGGGAGTTAAGGGTGCTCAACAAACAACAAAACTAATACATGAACAAGTGCTAAGTACGACGTATGCTAGTAACAAAATAAACACGCGTACACACCCTCAGTTGCTAATTACTAGTACCCCGAACCCCCCTAAGAAAAGAAGAGAACACTTAGGTTCCCCACACCCCGAAATTCAGCCGCCGATCTGGCTCTCATCGGCCTCCCACGCGCCAGCAGCCTTCGGAAAGCTTGCAGTCCTGTGCAATCTTTGTCCGTCTCTATGTCCTCTCTCTTTCTCTCTCTCTCTCTCTCTTTCTCTCTTTCTCTCTTTCTCTCTTTCTCTCTTTCTCTCTTTCTCTCTTTCTCTCTTTCTCTCCTTCTCTCCTTCTCTCCTTCTCTCCTTCTCTCCTTCTCTCCTTCTCTCCTTCTCTCCTTCTCTCCTTCTCTCCTTCTCTCCGTCTCTCCTTCTCTCCGTCTCTCCTTCTCTCCTTCTCTCCTTCTCTCCTTCTCTCCTTCTCTCCTTCTCTCCTTCTCTCCTTCTCTCCTTCTCTCCTTCTCTCCTTCTCTCCTTCTCTCCTTCTCTCCTTCTCCTTCTCTCCTTCTCTCCTTCTCTCCTTCTCTCCTTCTCTCCTTCTCTCCTTCTCTCCTTCTCTCCTTCTCTCCTTCTCTCCTTCTCTCCTTCTCTCCTTCTCTCCTTCTCTCCTTCTCTCCTTCTCTCCTTCTCTCCTTCTCTCCTTCTCTCCTTCTCTCCTTCTCTCCTTCTCTCCTTCTCTCCTTCTCTCCTTCTCTCCTTCTCTCCTTCTCTCCTTCTCTCCTTCTCTCCTTCTCTCCTTCTCTCCTTCTCTCCTTCTCTCCTTCTCTCCTTCTCTCCTTCTCTCCTTCTCTCCTTCTCTCCTTCTCTCCTTCTCTCCTTCTCTCCTTCTCTCCTTCTCTCCTTCTTCTCTCCTTCTCTCCTTCTCTCCTTCTCTCCTTCTCTCCTTCTCTCCTTCTCTCCCTCTCCTTCCCTCCTTTGCCTCTCTCGCCCTAAGCCTCAAGCCCCAAGAAACCTGACACTCTAAACATACATGAATTCATTGGCCGAGTAACGACGGCTCACACTGCTCACGCTTGAGAGCAATGTAAAGCGACTCCAGCGTGTACTGAAGCAGGGAGCGGCCCAAGTCTTGCACGCTGTCATCTGTCACACTGCGCTGAGAGTACAAGGTGGCCTGCTTGGACGCGATCTGGGTCACCCTTGCAAGCTTGGCGTAGCCATTGGACAGGATATCTCGGCCATGCTCACGATGGATCCTGGTCAAGATCTTCACGCCGTCGACGGGGTCGAGGGTCGTCGCCACTGCAAGGGCGCCCTGCAGCATTGTCTTGTTCACACTGGCACCATTGAACCTCACGCCATCATCCTGGAGCAAGTTCAGGAGCTGGCTCTGTTTGATCTCGTCACCCTCAGAGAGGTACTTGGTCTGGATTCTCATGACCTTGTACGAGAAGTCTTGAAATGAATCCGCCAGCTCGGGGATTTTGACACTTTCACTCTCAATGAGCGACTTGAGCAGCAGTTCTTGCCCTTTCAGAGTGTAGGCTCTGAGTGTCAAAGTCATCCCCATGTTGAAGAGCTGGTTCACTCTCTTCTCATCGTTCTGGACAAGGGCCCTTGCCATGGCCATGTACCACGCCAGGAGGGGCAGGTGGCCCCGCATGAGGCGCAAGCCAGCGGGCCAGGTGTCTTTGTGAGCCAGATTCGCACTCACATCATAGACAGGGAAGGGGTTCTTGAAGTAGAGCGGCTTGTCGATGGAGGGCATCATCTTCTCCTCCACGTCAAAGATTTCTTTCCATGACACTTCCTCCAAGGCCAGCTCTTCCCCCCGGTCCATTGACCCTGCCACATCCGCCCAAAAGATGGTGCCTCCTGCTTCGTACATATTTTGCTGGCTCACACTGATTTTGCAGTTCTCAGGAGACCAAATCTCTTTGAAGTTGCACCGACCACGATTCGCGGCATCGATCTCGAAGGGCCCCAAGTCACACAGACTCTTGACGGACAACTTCAAGAAGGCAGGGAGTCGCTCATGCACCTGGCGGTCAGGGTTCTCAGAATGTCACACACACAAACACACACACTCTGAGCACATTGTTTTGCTGGGTGACAGTTATTTTTGCACATCACTGCTGCTGAGGACGCTGCCACTCGCACCACAGTCTTCATGCCAGGCAAACAGCCCGTTGTCCTTGCAGCCTGCTCCTCCGGCAGCTGTGGCATCTCTGTGGGCGAAGGCGGCGAGTCACTCTGAGGCAATTTGCCCGTCGGGACAGTCACAGCCGCTTGTCTTCCAGGTTGACCGTGCAGAAGTCTCTGGATAGACGCGTCATCACTGGTGGTCTTCACTCTGGAAGCGGCCATGGTCAAGAAAAGCGAATTGCAAAATGGCTGGCGGGGCCAAGCGCTTAAGCCGCGGCGGCAACAAAAACCAAGGTTGCAATTCACCCTGGCCTAGCGCTAGGTCGGGGTGTATTGGCACCTCAAACCCCGCCTACCAATACACCAAACTCATGTTGCGAATTCTAAGGGTATTGCTTGGTTACTTAGCAAGTGGCAATACACCCCGACCTAGCGCTAGGTCGGGGTGTAATGCCACTTGAGTTTGAGTGACACAATACACTTTTGCGATCAAAAACTGGCCGTGCACCGGGCGCCCGGCCCGGGTGAGTGTCAACAACGACCATGAACGAGCCTTGCAGATGACTTCTGAATCACACTAAAGTACCTTAAAGGCCAAAACCCCAATTTGTTTGAAACCTTTTAAACCATCAACACCCTAAACCCTAAGAACTCTGAATCGTCCCCAAAGGCGGCAAAATACCCTATCCCAAAACACAACCACACTCTTGGAACAATGGGGGCCCGGCACCAGCCAGCCTGAAGGCGGAAGTTCACACTTGTGGAAGTCGCAGGAGTGAGATGGTAACACACATTGTCGCTCGGGGCCGCACAGTTGGAAGGCGATTTGCTGACTGAAGACGGTCACCTGGCTCAAGGGGCTCTCACTGTGATATGAGAGTGGGCACTGGCTCCTCTGTCACCCTATATGCACCAAATACAACCACACAGCTGTTTCTTCATCAAGCGCCTGCTGTGTTTCATCTGTGCACAGCCAGACCTTACCCCCCCCGCCCCCCTGTGGAGTTCACATCTGAGAACGCTCTCAGACTATGTGCTTTGCTCCATGGTACACCTGCTGCAATCTGACTGACCCTTACAAAAAGAGCGATCCCAAACGTCACGTGTTTTTCTTAGCCCTCTTCTTTGGAGGGTTTGCTACACTGGCTGACACTCCGAAATTAAAAGAAGCTCCTTGCTTGCCGGGAACATGCTTCCCAGGGGTTAATCGTCGAACGGCTGACATCCAGCTGTACAAAGAGGCCATGTCGTTCACAGTGGCCCTTGGTTCAGCATCGTTCACACTCATCTTCCAGGAGCTGTTCGGAATTTGTGTGAAATGTCGGACAAGCTTGCTAAGGCTCTGGAAGTTCGCCCGAAACTGATCACTCAGGTGCACTGTGGAAACGCTTCCCTTGATGGCCGGCTGATAATATCTCACCCTCTGTAGCCGGTGGCTGGAATTCCAGTCCTGCCTCGACGCAAGACCCTTGCCAAGGGCCACCACGGTCAAATAGACGCGAGCCATGTCGATCCTCGCAAAGTCACAGACTCATTCAGATTCATGAAAAATCAACCGACCTGACCCTTGGGTAAGCAGGAGTGTTGCCGCTTGGAAGCAATTAAACTAAATCGCGTCAAGCGTCCCAGCCCTCATCTGCTCCACCGCTGAAAGATCGTCCACGACCACGACAGTGGCTGTTTGGAGCACTTGAAAATTGACCTGCTCACCCTGAGGTCGCTTCACCCTCCCAGCAAGAGGCTGCTGAATGCCATCTTTCGTGAAATCCAAGATGACAGCGTTGTCCCTCAGGCCGGCACCAGCAGGGCCCTGCATCACACTTCCGGTCCGCAGCTCCGGCTTTGGCGCCCGAAGGCCGAGCTTCCGCCTGGTTCTATCGGCCTGACCAGCCTGAGCCTTCCTCACCGTGTTCTTCTGGAATTTGCGAAGCTCCGTGCACCAAGCGGGACTGTCTGCCAGTTTGTACCTGTTTGGCCTCGCAAAGTCATTCACCCTGTGGCCCAGGAACGTTCTGGCCGACGAAAGTTCTTCTGTGGACATGCTGCACAGTTTCCGGACTGTTTCACGCTGACCCTTGAACTTGGCCGAAACACCACGACTGCTGGGGACCCGAACTTTACCGGCATCCGCTCGCTTCCGATAGGAACGAAACCGTCGACCGAACCACTCTATCCAAAGCTCCTGGCAGGAACGCGTGAAATCTGTCATCTGCAGGGCTGCGCAGCCTGCGAATTGCAAACCACAAGAGGACTCGACAGCTGCGACTGAAGCTTGCACCGCTATCTCTTCTTCGCGCTGTGGGCCATCCAGTCGCAACTCCAACAAGTGTCCAACGGTAACGCCCTCCAGGTCAAGCGGGCCTTTGCACTCTTGGAGGAAGCTGCGCAGTTGGGACAAGTCACGCTCCACGGAGCATTCGCCATCCAAGACACAAAGGTACAACCTCACACTGGGCTTCAACGCCTCTAGGCTTCCACTCAGCACTGTCCTCCACGCCGGCCTGCAATCTTGATCCTTGCGACACCTGCTGAGTGTTGCTTTGTCCGCCAAGAAGACTGCCACCTGACTCTCGAACTCCGTAACCGCCAGGGCCTTGTCCACCTCCTGCCCTGTCAGCTTCATGACCATCTTGAAGCGGGCTATCTGGTCCAGGCGTGTGGCTTGCCATGCGGCGGCGTCACCCTGACGCATCTTTTCACGGGCCGCTTGCCACAGCTGCAGATCAAAGCAGCTGAACCTCATTATGCTTGTCTTGACTCTGCAGAGAACCAGTAGCCCCTGTACTGTTTGGGCGCTTGAACTGTTCAAAAGGATCCCATTCAAAGTCAAGGCCTAGGAGCGCCACGTGAGAGTCGGAGCAATGGCAGTCTGCCATCACTCTGGCAATGGTGGCGTCGACACATGCCTGGGCGCTGGTCATCACACTTTGGCATTGGCTCTTGGACATTGGCCCCCACATCGTGTGCAGCCGATCACAAAACTGAACGGTAGCACACTGCATGGCATTGCGACAGGCTTGAAAAGCAAATGTCCCCACGTCAGTTGCTTCGGGTTCACACAGCACCCTCCCTTCCAGGAATAACTGTCGCAGGCGGCCTAGGAAGAAGTCACGCTCCCGAAGGACAGCAGATATATCGTGATCTGCTCGGTCGTTGAGCCGGACATACTGAAGCACCTCGAGTCCGAAGTCCGTGGCCAAGCCAGCTGTCAGGGCATGCTCAGCAGTCATTGACTCTAGCATTTTTTGGCTTTTGCATCTGATGCCGGCTTCCAATCTTTCGTCCGACCTTGGCTCTGGTTGCATTAAAGTGTTTCAAACTGGACTGAATTTTGAACCTACAATATCAAACACCAAAGCACAAAAGCCCACACTGATAACACTAGCAAGTTTCGCTTGGTACGCCAAAAGGAGCGCTATCGGCTCCAGCATTAAGCAATAGCGAGCCTGCGGCGTTGCTGATGAGTCGAAGCGCTGCTTGGCATAGGACAGAGTAGTCACCGCTCGTCGAAGATTTGGCATCGTCGGTGCCTGACAGGTTCAAAGACATTATTGGTTTGAAGTCTAAAAGGTTTTATTTTTAATAATATAAGGGTTTTAAAGGGTTTAGGCTCTACGGTTAACCTTCCAGCCTCACGCTGTAACACTGCAAAGCGAAGGCGCCATGCGTCTGAGTTCTGCAACGCCGGTATCACTCTCCCAAAATGGTCCCAGAATGATTTAAAGCGCGGCTCCAAAGTAATTGCCAGAGCTGCACGCCGTATTTGGTGTGCTCTGTCCACTATCGTCACACTCAAGTTGGGAAGACAACGTCCGCGCATGAGCGCCATGGACTTCTTCATCGCAGCCGCACCATCTGTGGTACACGCCTTCACAGTGTTCAAGATGTGCTGCAACAGCGCATCGTTCGTGTCGTCACCCTCCGGGGTGCAAAGCATCTGGAAAGCTGCCTTGACACTGTCGGCCACTTTGATCCCATAGTCCTCTTCCAAATCACGGGTGGTTGTTCCAGTCATTGTTCCATGATACTTCAGCACTGCTGCCACTCCAGTGATAACACAAGACTCCTCACCCTCACCCTGGAGTGTCTTGCTGCAGGCCCGAAACCTGATCACCCTGTATGGTGCTTTGTCGTCCAGGGCAACGGAACAGCAACTGCTATTCTTCAATGCTTCTCGTTTCCGCCGCCTGACAATCTCGACCATGACAAGGACCATTCGTTTCAACGTATATCTGGTCACACTCTTCTTGCGAATCGCGATGTAGGTCTCGGTGACAGACTGGGCCGCAGCCTTGTTGTATGACACTGGACTCTTGATCATCCGCCAGCAGCGGAGCCAGTCCTGAGTTCAGCCGGGGTAGGTTAAACTAAATTTTCTAAGTTAGTAATTCTGGACACTGATCCTTCTTGACTCTACAAGTATTGCATCCAAAGCTCTGCAGGCGTCGGAACTGACCCTGACAGCAGCTCCTCGTCCTCACGGCTTCCCAGGATAAGACTCTCCAGCGGTGCATCCGGTAATGACACTCCGCGAATTGCTCTCTTGTGGATGTCACTCTCGGCGTGATTCTGGAACGAGCTGGCCTGCATCTGGGAAAGAGTGCGGATCTCGTAGCGGGCAAACTTTGTGTCGAATCGGCGGCGCAGGTGCCGGGCCCGACTGTCACTCTGTGCTGCGCGTGCTCTAAGTGCAGCGCAAGGCGCGCAACCTACAGCCCATTCGCCGGCTAGGCTCGCCGGGCGTTCTGCCAGCCATGCTGTTCGGACACGTTGACCCTCACTCTGCTGAAGGAACGACCCGTGTGATCGCTGCCACTTGGAACGAAACTTCACGAACCAACACCTGGGGCACTTTGAGTTGAAACTCTCATGGCAGAATTTCGCACCAGCAGGAATCACGCTGACACTGGAGTCTCCACTGTCTGGGATGTTTCTGCGAAGCTGTCTGCGGCCGCTCTGCGATTTGTCACTGGAAACCGCCGGGGGTGTCTCACACTCACCAGAATATGCTGCAGCCAACTTCCCTTTCACAGGCTGAAAACCACATTGCCGCCGTTTCATGACTTTCACACTCACCGCACAACGGAGCCAAACGGTACATCAGGCCAGCACAAATTATATACTAACCTGTATGATTTAGTTCGGCGGATGTCTCTTGCCGATCTAGACTTTGACACTGACCATCGTAGACTCTAGTTCGGCGAATGTCTCTTGCCGATCTACACACTGGCACTGACACTGGCCTCGGCGATTGAATAGTTCATGAGTGTTTCTATTACTACTACAGTTATTATTGTTATTATAACTATCATTAGTTCGATTTTGTTCATATTACTGTGTTTACAGGCTTTTGTGATTGTTCAAGGTATTAATACGATTGACACACACACACACACACATACATATAAAAATAAATAAATATAATATAATATAATATATATATATATTATTACATATTATATATTTATATATTTACATATACATACATATATATATATATAATATGAATATACATACTTTATATATAAATAATATTAAATTATAATAATGAATAATCGTTGTCAATCCCTGACCCTGAGAAGGCAGGCCCTGCAAAGCAAACCGGCTGCACCGCAGGAATGGCCACCAGTGCCCTGACAGTGACCTGACACGCGGGCCAGGATTCGGGCCAGGACTCCCTTATGCCGGACTGCTGTGGTGTTTCCTAGTGACGCTACGACTTTGTAACAAGCACCAACAGGCAAGCTGAGCACGCTCTGAGTACCAGACTCTGCCCTCGAGAAGAACCGGCCTGAAGGCGCGCGCAATGCGTCTCTGAGAAAGAAGCGATAGCACCAGTATTACACCCACTGCAGGAAGCACAATCGTGCATTAATTTCTCACTCCACACACTGAATCAGCCAGTCAATGCGAATGACCTCAACATTGCTGGCAGCTAGGACACTGACACATCAGAGGCACAGGGAAGCGCCATTAGATAGAAACACTGAGCAGATTTGTATTCAGACATCGTGCCAGATAGGCGCAGGTGCTTGGAAATGCTCACCCTTATGTCGTCAGCCTCTGCTATGCCAGTACAGGCTGTTGCCACTGACAGCATTGCAGCTGGAACATGAAGCCGGGGCAGTTTTTGCCCGGCTTTCTTCATCCGCTCAAGCAACCGGAATGTCTCACCCATGATAATGAAGGATCTCCATGACCCTACGAGACTTCGAAGTTTAGGAAGATATGTGGTTTCTAGCAGATACTCGAAAGACGTGAACTCATCAGAATCACTCTCGCCCTGCCCGGCTGTGGTTGGCAGCTTCACCGCAGACGTGAACCCATCACTCTGGCCCCTCTCGGCTGCGCCACTCTCAATCGTCGTCTCCTCGCGCTGCTCAGACAAGGGCGTAGCGCTCTGGACCTCACTGGCATCTCCTGGACTCTTCTTCTTCTTGACAGGTGGTGTCTGACACTGGGGCCTGCCATTGCTAGTCATCTGTTTCTTGCGGCCAAACCTCACTCTCGGCTTCTGGTTGTTTCGGCCTCTCTTCGAGCTACGGCAGCCACCACAAATATTATTGGGCGGCCTTCTGTGTGTCCTCTCCTCACATAACTTGCACTTCCAGCCTGCCATTGTCACTCTCACTCTGAGCGACGCGACTGTTACTAGAGCTGCCTTGAGCAACGCAGAGGCAAGCAGCAATAATAACAACACACACGTGTTACAACACTGACTCTCACATCTTACAACAGTCGTGTGTCGACAGTGGGTCCCCGACCCGTCTGCAACTTGTCCTTCTTGACGTGAGCATCGTTGGGCACCTGTGCCGGCGAGAGAATGCATGACAATCAGACAGACACACACACACTCTCTCTCTCTCTCTCTCTCTCTCTCTCTCTCTCTCTCTCTCTCTCTCTCTCTCTCTCAGAGAACAAGTGGGGACGAGCAGGCAGATGAGCGGCAACTTTTGCCCAGTCAGCTGACACTCTGAAATTTCGTTGACCCCTGCGGGGCCCGCAGCCAGTGCACAGGAGAACTTTCACACTGACACTGCAAATATCAACAAGTCAATACCATTACTCGTAGGAATAGTGGTAGTCGCAATCAGTAGTAATCACACTGAGTCCTCCTCCAGCACAGAAGGCTGAAAACTATTCACAGTCACGCGGAGATGCAGCGGCTTGAGTTGGTAGACTGGAACGACAGGCTGTACTGACCAAGTATCTCTAAAGTTAACGAGGCTCACTCTGACGACTATGATTAGCAGTATCAAGGATCCTGATAATACTGCTGATGGCCTGACCCTGTCGCTCCACCACTCGACCAAGCCTGCTGCTCCATCTCACGACGGTCTAGGAGCATTTGGCGGTCCCACCGGGCCCGGTGCGAGATCCAACTCTCTAGGCGTTGAACTGGATCATTCCACCGAGCCTGTATGGCTTGGCTCCTCAGCTAACAATGGGTGAAAGCACCAGACCCCGAATGAATCACGACTTATGTGTCTCTGCGTGGGTGCGTGTTTTTCAAATGCTAAATTTGGTCGAGCAGCAGAAGCAGGGCCATTCTCACCCTCCCGTCTCGTCCAAATTCCAGCAAGGAGATGATGCTGGTGAAGCTTTCCATTGAGACTTGGACGTCCCTGCAGATTTCCAGCCTTGACGCAACGCAAGCTCAAGCACACCACGACAAACCGACACAAACAGACAAACAGCGACATGTCTCTCTAAAGCAGCCAAAGGTCACCACCATCCTCACAGTGTCGTCATCCGGGGGGTTAGGAATGTCCAAACTATCCGGCACATCAATGGCCATGCCTTTGCCGCCGCCCTTGGGCCGGGCACCTTTGTCACCCTTGCCCTTCCGGTTCTTGGCATCACCCTTGTGCTGCTGGACGTTCTTTCCGCCCTTGTCCTTGCCATTGCCCTTGTCCTGGCCTTTGGCCGGATCACCAAGGCCCTTGCCCTTGTCCTGCCCCTTGACCGACACGATTTGGTCCTTGCCCTTGGCAGTGCCCTTATCCTGGCCCTTTGGCGGGTTACCCTTGTTGGAGTCACCCTTGCCCTTGTCCTGGTGCTGCTGGAAGTAGTCGTTGCCACCCTTGTCCACAGCGCCCTTGTCCTTGCCCTTGTCCTGGTGCTGCTGGATGTTGTCCTTGCCACCCTTGTCCACAGCGCCCTTGTCCTTGCCACCTTTGTTGGAGTCACCCTTGCCCTTGTCCTGGTGCTGCTGGAAGTAGTCCTTGCCACCCTTGTCCACGGCGCCCTTGTCCTTGCCCTTAACCTGAACACCCTTGTTGGAGTCACCCTTGCCCTTGTCCTGGTGCTGCTGGACGTTGTCCTTGCCACCCTTGTCCACGGCGCCCTTGTCCTTGCCACCTTTGTTGGAGTCACCCTTGCCCTTGTCCTGGTGCTGGAGGTTGTCCTTGCCACCCTTGTCGTCCTTGCCCTTAGCTGGGTCACCCTTGTTGGAGTCACCCTTGCCCTTGTCCTGGTGCTGCTGGACGTCGTCCTTGCCACCCTTGTCCACGGCGCCCTTGCCCTTGCCCTTAACCTGAACACCCTTGTTGGAGTCACCCTTGCCCTTGTCCTGGTGCTGCTGGACGTTGTTCTTGCCACCCTTGTCCACGGCACCCTTGTCCTTGCCACCTTTGTTGGAGTCACCCTTGCCCTTGTCCTGGTGCTGCTGGAAGTAGTCCTTGCCACCCTTGTCCACGGCGCCCTTGTCCTTGCCCTTAGCTGGGTCACCCTTGTTGGAGTCACCCTTGCCCTTATCCTGGTGCTGCTGGACGTTGTCCTTGCCACCCTTGTCCACTGCGCCCTTGTCCTTGCCCTTGGCCGGGTTACCTTTGTCGCCCTCACCCTTGCCCTTGTCCTGGTGCTGGACGTTGTCCTTGCCCTTGGCCTGGTCACCCATGTCCTTGCCCTGGCCGCCGCCACCCTTGACCTTGCCCTTGTCACCCTTGCCCTGCTCTTCTTGGGCTGCTCGTTCCTCTTCAAGTCTCCTCTCGTTCTCTTCTGCTGCTGCCTCCAGAGTCTTCCTCACCCTTTCCTTCAGCTCCTCTTCTTCCGATTCCTCACCCTCGTCCACGGCACCCTTGTCCTGGCCCTTGGCCTGGTCACCCATGTTCTCGGTCTTGGCCGTGTCACCCTTGTCACCCTTGCCCATGTTGTCCTTGCCACCCTTGTCCTCGCCACCATTGTGCACGTCACCCTTGCCCTTGTGCTGGTTCTGCTGGTTGTCGTCCTTGCCCACAGCGGGCTTGCCCTCACCCTTGCCCTTGTCCTGGCACTGGACGTTGTCCTTGCCCTTGCCCTTTTTTCCATTCTGCTGGGTGTTGCCTGCAGACTTTCCCTTGATCCCCAGGTGCGAAAGAATCGCACGATTCATCTTTGACTTGCCCTTCCCATCGTCACCCTGGGCCGGGACCTGAGCCAGCTGCACTTTTGATCCTACCAGAAACCGTGTCACAACGCATGGCTAGCATAATCTAAGGCAGTGCTTGCCAAGCTGCCTCAGTCTCAGGTGACTCTGACTCACCTTCGGTGTCACTCTCAGACTTACTCTCAGATGTTGGGCATCTCTCGGACGGCATTGATCCTCAGCTTGAGTTGAGTCAAGCCCAGGCAACCAGCCACTTTGCTACCTAACAATGATTACAGACACTTGCAGTAATAATTAGTATGCCAAGTCACTCTCGGAGACTGGTCTTAGAAGACTCGATGAGCCACGAGGAGGCCTCCCACTTGTCCTTGAAGCGAAGGTGCCGGCAGAGATCACTCGCGGCCCGTGGCTCCACACTGAAAAGCAGGAAGACGACCTGTCAAGGCTTGCAACTGACTGCCAATCTTGCAGGCAAAGCACCAATGACCGGGGCCAGCCTGTTGGGAACCGCGGTCCACCTTCTCCTCACACACAGCCGCCCAATTCGGGGGCAGGGCGTCCAGGCCGATACTGTTACCGGTCGACCGCCCCACCATGTACAGGCAGGACTGACACTGCACAGTGTCGGTGTTCAATAGTCCTATTCAATTTGTCAAACATTGCTGTTAAATTCGTTTATCTAGTGATGACTGAG